TGGTACACGTGATTTATTGCATGTCTAAGGGAAACTGAGGACATTGTATTGGGGTGGTGAGACGTCTGTCAAATACAGTTTAGCGTAGCTGTAAATCAGGACCCAAACCCCGCAGGTCAGCGTTTAGTGAAAACCAAGACTTTTTGTACTTTTTGACTTTCTTTTACACTTGACATTTCCAGACTGTGGGCAACTGCAATAATCTTAAAAGTCCAATATTACGCAAAATAGCCTCTTGTGAGCTTTAGCCATGTTATAATGTGGTTACCTCATCAAAAACATACCCAGAGTTGTGTTTTGTTTCATTCACACGTTTGATTAATCCTTTCTTTTGAGTCTGTTTACATCTCCAAAGCTCAAAATGTTCTGTTCACCTTGTGTTGGCATGAAGTGTGAATTAGTTTCCACGTTAACAGCTACCTTTTAGCTTTTGTTCAATAGAGCGCAATTTCAGGGCTGAAATCATCCAAATTATTCTAGTGAAGGTGTTTATGAAAGAGAGTGTTTTCGGTTTGAGATAACAACCTAAATGTGTGAATGAAACAAAATACACCTCCAGGTATCAGGTGTGTTGTGTAACTTTTCTGGTGAAGGGTCTGGTAAATGCTGTTCTCCATGGAAACATAATTACTTTGTCTGTAATGTTTCAAAATATGGCATTAAACCTTTCTATATTCATGGAGGCCAAACCAGACCAAGTTACAGGTCAGATCAGGCAACCCTGCTCATAGTCAGAATGCATGCTTTTCAAGGTATTTTTCACTATGAAACCACCTGTAATTGGTTGAATGTAAGGTAGAGCAGCTTAATGTCATACTGGCAGAGCAATGGCATATCTGTAGAAACAAGCAGGTGATTGACCCCCAACCAAAAAGTCACACGATGCACCTGTAAACAACTTTAAACAGCTTTTGAGTCAAACTGAAATCACAGTTTTGTCTCATGTAGCAGTTACTCCAGTCTGCAGCAAATCATTTTTTAGGCAATCCTGTTTTTTGGCGCTTTTGGCAGGTGGGTTTGTCAGAATAGTTGGACTGTGTTGTTTCCGACCGCGTGCCAGTTGTTTATGGAGGGAGCTCAGCCGTCATCATTGGAGCTGGCAGCTTTCCACATGCAAATGTTTGGGAAGACATGCTCCACAACACAACAGAGCTCAGGAGAGATGGAGGGTTTGTGTTGGTGCTGCTGCAGGGACCAATTCAACAGAGTCTAAACACTCATACATATGTACACACAGTGTCAACGCATCATCGGGATTTGGCCCATTTCAAACGACCTTAAATAACATTTTAAGATTTAGATTGTCTGAAGTACTTCATACTAACAGATGCAGTGATCCAGCTTTTTCAGTTCTGATACAGATGTTGATATTATGGATTTACACATCTGTCAATGTCCGATATCAAGCGGTACAAGTGTGGAAACTGAAAACCGTTAAAACAAAAATAAAATAAGACAAAACTGATTCAAATGTGTCCAAACATTATGAGATTTTCAATTTATATGTTTAACAAGGATATCGACTGAACTGAGGCTTTCCAAAAAAAAACTAAATTTTATAGCCTGCATTTAATTAAAACCAATTGTGATAATCAAAAAAGTGGATGTTTCTGACCTGTTATGTGAATTTGAAACGCATTACCTGCAGATTATGTAAATGAATGAGGCCAGTTTGAACTCAATTGAAAAAACAAGTGGGTTATGGACTGCTGCAGGCTTTGTTACCACTTCCTATTATGTTCAAGTGAATGGCACTGCACTGTTTAATCAACAAGCAGGATTTGGTAAGACTGAGGATGAATACATAATTGATGGGGGCAGGCAGGAGTCTGTGGGACGAGGATGTGACTGGACAAGTGCCATTCTGTCATCTGATATTGTTTTATTGTTTGATTCTTTGTGTTTGGTTCAAGTGTTTAGAATGGTGATAGGAAGCGATTCAAGCGTGTGCCAAGAGGATATGAACTTTTACTGACTGTGATAATGTTTTGTTTGGTAGATAGAGTTTAGTGAGACTGTAGAAACAACACAGTGAATATTACGGCAAGGCAAGTTTATTTGCATAGCACAATTCATTCAAAAAGTAATTCAAAATGTTTTACAGAATAAGAAAGGCATAAATAATCATCATTAAATTAACATTAAAAGAGAAGAGAGCAGCGCAGTCATATGCACAGCTAAACAGAACTAATTTGGGCTTGGGTTTAAACATGGCCTTTCTCACATCTTCACGAAGACTGTTCCAGGTTTTAGCTGCATAAAACTTTATGCTTGCCCTTGTTTAGTCCTGGTTTAGTCTTGGTTTAGTCCTGGTTTACTCTTGGTTTAATCCTTGTTTAGTCCTGGTTTACTCCTGGTTTAGTCTTGGTTTAGTCTTGGCTAATACTGGTTTAGTTCTGGTTTTGCCTTGTTTTAGTCCTGGTTTAGTCTTGGTTTTGCCTTGTTTTACTCCTGGTTTAGTCTTGGTTTAATCTTGGTTTAATCCTTGTTTAGTCCTGGTTTAGTCTTGGTTTCGTTCTAGTTTAGTCTTGGTTTAATCTTGGTTTAGTCCTGGTTTTGTTTTTGGTTTAGTCTTGGTTTAGTCTTGGTTTACTCTTGGTTTAATCCTGGTTTAGTCTTGATTTAGTCTTGGTTTAGTCCTGGTTTAGTTTTGGTTTAGTCTCAGTTTAGTCTTGGTTTAGTCCTTGTTTATTCCTGGATTAGTTTTGGTTTAGTCTTGGTTTAGTTTTGGTTTAAGTCCTTTTTTTTTACATATGTTTTTAGATGGTAAAAAGCTTCAAATGGTGATGATGGTTATGGTTATTTTTACATGAAAAATAATTAGAACAAGAGTCTAATTCTGGTGGAGGGTCTGCCACCTGTTATAGAGATGTCATTTTGCCTGAAGTGTTTCATAGTATGGCTTTAAACATGTCTATCTCACTGAAAACTGTTATTTAATAGCAGTAATAGTAGTAAGGTGTACAGTATACTTCCAAATGTACTATGTAAACCATAGTTTGTTTTTGTACTTAATTTTTCTGGAGTATTCTTTGAAATAGTTTAGTTTATTTTGAGTAGGCTGCCCAAATTCTCAAATATCAAATGTGATGGTTACACAAGCGCAGAGTATCCCCTCCTGTCTTTTCTTATTTCAAACACAAACAAATAGAGCACTGTATACACAATAAAAAAGTCACTGACAGACATAGACAAGCTATGAACAAATAAGGATCTTCAAAGACAAACTTTATTCAAGTCAAAGTCATCATAAAGACACAAAAACACCAGAACATTTCTTTCAATTTAGTGATTTGCCAAGAACTTTGAGATTGTGCAACATTTGTTTTCCTTTGCCCTTGTCTGTGACCTCTCTTCTCTCCTCTACTCATCCCTGTCTGCCAGTTCATAACCAAACAATACTCTGAATATTTGGCCTGTGATTCACCACTGTTTCTGGTAAGAATAGTCATGTTAATGGCTATCGGCGATGTTCAGTATGTATTTGTACAAACTTGAGCCAGACTTTTTACCGTACAATGAAAACACTTGACATGAAGTAGTTGACTGACTCCTTGACTGAATTTGCTGAGTGATAGGAGGTGGTTAAAGAAGCTGCAGACTCGTAGCCATGTTTGTCAGAAGTTGTTGATTCATTTGGGGATTTAAAGGGCCCATATTATTTTATTTTCTGATCTATGCCTATCATCGAAAACATACCCAGAGTTGTGTTTTGTTTCATTCACACTTATTTAACACACAAACCCTGCATATTCAGCTGAGTTAATTTCTCAAACAGAAGACACTCTGTTCCACCTTGTGATGTCATGTGGTAATACAGGAAATGCTCCAATGTGTTTTTAAACTCCTTACACCTTCACTAGAATTATTTAGATCAGTGTTTCCCAAACTTTTTTTTCTGGGGACCCATATTTGACAAATCTTCTAAGTCACAAATTTTCATGACCCAAGCCCATAGACATTATTTGTAAATCAAAAAGGTGGATTTGACCATTATTGAAGGTTAATGAGGATATTCTATTGTTGACTGAATGATCATGTCTCTCTGAACAATTAGTATTACTCAAGTTTTAAACAATGAAAAACAGCAATTGAACCAGCAATAAAAAGAATCCATAAGTCGCCTATTTGGACATGTATGTAGCCCTGTATATTGCAGACCGACACACAGATTATGACAAGGTGACCTAAAAAAAGGTTGCAAGAGAAGGTAGCAGTCTTTAGGAAACACTGATTTGGATGATTCCAGAGCTGGAATTCGAGCTCTACTGACCAAAAGGTTTAGCTGTTAACTTGAAAACTACCACTGCATGACATCACAAGGTAAATAAACATATCAAGTTGTGATCTTGCTTTTCTTAAAGGGGAATTTGAAGTTGTATTTAGAGTGATTCATGCATGTTTGTGTAATTTTTGTTGCCTTGCATTCAAAGCACTAGCCTGGTTCATCAGCTGGTTTCACTTTGTGGAAACCGACTGACCTCGCAGCATTAGATTTTGTTCGCTCGACGGTAGGCGGGTACTTTTTAAATTTAACCAGTCATTGCTATTTGGTCGTGACATATGTAATGCGCCGTTAACAGGGCTAACTGGTATATTAAGCTTTTCCCAAATCCTGTAGGAAGAAGGACAATAACGTCTCTCCCCTTGATAAAATTCACCAAACATTCTCTTTGTTCCAGCTTTAAATTCTCAACCTCGGGAATTGTTGCCAAACACAGAATGTATGGCTCTTTGTTGATTGGCTGGTACCTGAACTCGCACTTCTGGGGTTCATGCAAACTGTCTAGTGTATTCCGATTCCTGACCTAGTCGTTGGAGAGCACTAGGTGGTGCCAGCCTGGCTATCAGAACGTTATTACTCCAAAAAAGTCACATTTTCATATATTCCATTGCACGACCACTGCCAGAAAATACAGTAAATAGCCTAATATGTCTTCTTTAACTGTCATTTTGTGATGGTATATTGACTTATGGTGTTCTGTGTGGTCTCTTTGCAGTGCCTGGAAACTTAGGCTGTTACAAAGACAGTGGGGACCCTCCAACTCTGTCCGGCTCCAGCGAGACGTCCAACAAACTCACCATTCAGAACTGTATCAGCTTCTGCCGCAAGCAGAGATACAAGGTGACAGTCCACACTCACAGTCATACCATTAACTGGATAGAAAAAGACAGTTTTTTTGACTCTATGTAACTTTTGTGGAGGAGTGTAGGAGAAAGACCATAGACTCTATATAAATGTCTAGAGCTAACCCACTAGCTGCCATGTTCCAAATAGGAAGTGAGCATGGGGGCACGTCATTCTCCAGTGACTCTGCTTACAGTTGACTTTACATTGAAAAATTGTCACCCCTCTTTCTGTAACTGCTACAGTGAGCCTTGTCATAAAATGTTCATATTAAACCACTCTACATGATCCTGTATTTTTTTATATTGCTAATTTGTCCATGAATAAATTCCTAATATTGAACTCAGCTCCAAATTCACCCCAACTTGCTTTCATCGTAAGCTTCATTTGACTGGAGCCGCTATGAGTGATGCCACACTCACTTAGTCCACTTTTTTATACAGTCAATGAGATAGTTATTGCTGTGCCTGGAATGTTATACAGCAGTGTTTCCCAAACCTTTTTTTCTGGGGACCCATATTTTAAAAGTCACAAACCTTGACCCAAGTCAATTGACATTATTTGTAAATCACAAAATAAACGTGGATTTGACCATTATTGAACATTAATGAGGATATTTTATTGTTGACTGAGTGATGGTGTCTCTCTGAACAATTAGTATTACTCAAGTTTTAAACAATGAAAAACAGTAACTGAACCAGCAATAAAACGCCTCCATAAGGCGCCTATTTGGACATTAAATGTAGCCCATTTCTTTTTCTTTTCAATATTGAATTGACCCAGCAATATTGGAACAAAATAGTCAATAAAATAATTACAAAAAAGATGTTAATTTATACAAAACATGTCTTAATGAGATAGTTGGGCCTGTCTGCGTTTTTGTAGCACGTTTCAGTCTGGGGTGCAGGAGGAGAGTGCAGCATGCAGATCTGTGTCAGAACTGTATATTGCAGACCTACATGCAGATCGTGACAAGGCGACCCAAAAAAATCTCTTGCAACTCACCTGAGTGTCGCGACCCAGTCTTTGGAAACAGTGTTATACAATATGACATAAAACCTAGCTATTTCCATGGAGACAAATAGATGACACCACCAGGACAAGTTGCAGGTCAGATCTATGGAGAGGTGACCCAGTAAGACAAAAGCCCTCCCTATGTTATTTTAGGCATCTTAGTGATAATGTATAATTCTTTTTTTTTATTTCTTTGTTAAGCCATCTTTGTATGAACAGAAGATTTAATGTTATTGTGTTAAGTCGTTGTCAAATAAATAAATAACACTTTTATTAACAATTCATGAACCACCTTAACTTGAATAAATGCAGGAGTTCATAGCAAAACAGGTAAGAAAGTAACAACATATAGGCAGGTCCCTCACCAGGAAAGTTACATAATGCACCTTTAAATAGCTCCCACACAGTGAAGAGTTAATGCACAAATCATCTTCACTTGTCTTATGTGGCATTTCCTGACAGTAATCACTACCATGTCCACTGTCTGGGCCTTTTATGAAGCCAAACGGCCGATGACAAATCAGCACAGCAATCAGAACTGACAGCTGGAAATGAGTGTTATTAGCCCACTGGGTCCTTGTCCTCATTGAGTCCCATTGTCGCGCCTTTAAACCAATGCCAGGTGTTTATTTTCTGTGCGGGTAATTCTCTTGATGTGCATGGGCAGCCTTTGACAGCCTCCTCCGTGCCTGGCTCTGCAGATGTTACAGGAAGTGGCAGGAGACTGGCACCGCTGCCCACCCTCGGACTGTTCGTGATGAGTGTAGGACGTCATACCCAGCAGCAGCGTTCATTTTGACAAGATGTTTGAACTGAGTTTTAATCAGGGTTTTGATAAATAATTATTTTAAAGGGCCCAAATTATGCAACTTTCTGATCTATTTTATTATAATGTTGTTCCCTCATCAAAAACATACCAGTTGTGTTTTGTTTTATTCACACACACGTTGGGTTGTAAGAGTTCTTTTCTCAAACAAGAAAATACACTTTTCCACCTTGTAATCTCATGTCATACAGGATGTGATCCACTGTGTTTTTAAACTCTAAACATCTTCACTAGAATTTTTTGGATGATTGCAGACCTGGAATGTCCAATCTATACTGAATCAAAGGGGAAAAAATAGCCGTTACTTTGAAAACTACCACTACATGCTGTCACATCACAAGGTGGAACAGAGCATTTTGAGCTTTGGAGATGTAAATTAAATGACTCAAATAAGTGTGAATGATACAAAATACAACTATGTTTTTGACGAGGTAACAACATTATAACATGTCTTAAAGCTCACAAGTCAGTTTGTGTAATATAGGACCTTTAAATTTTAGTTTTAGTTGAAGGGTTTGTTAAAATATGTAAAACATTTCAACCTAATTTGTTTTCAGTTTGACAATAGCCTGCCTAGACAAAATTCTTCAACCGTAGTCATTACCCATTAGGTCAAAGATGATTCAGGTTGTTTACATTAAAGTTAAAAGGTCTGCTTCCTCTCTACAAATCCTCATTATAATGGTTTGTCCACAATTATTTAAGATGCAGTACAAATTATACTTCAAAATTACTGCTAGATTAAAATTATGGTTAAGGTAAACATTATTGTCCCCGCAGGGAAATTTGTCCTCTGCATTTGACTCATCCTTCAACAATGCTGGAGCAATTAGCCACCCAAAAATATATAAATCTTTCATGAATTATAGGATATGACTAAACCTCATGCAGACATTTGTCCTTGTTTGGTCCCAGATTAGTCCTGATGTAGATTTGGTTTGCTCTAGTCCAGGTTTAGTTCCTGTTCAGTCCTAGTTTAGTCTGTTTTTATGGGATGGAGTGACCCTGAGTCATAGTGTAGTCTGTATTTTTTGGTTTTGTCAATAAAAAATATCTATTTGAAGAAAAACCATGACGAAATATATTACTGAACAAATCTAACCCTGCTCGGAAGTATGTGTCATCCGTGACTACGACAAAGGGGCCTGTGTGATGAGTAAGAGAGTGGCGGAAAACCTTAACCTTAACTTGGCCAGACCCAGGGCAAGAACAGGACTATACCAGGACTAGGGTTGACAAAAGTATCGAAAATCAGATACTAAAACTAGCCCCTTAACGCCGATTGTCACAAATATGCAATAAACTGTTTGGATCAAGACATAAGCCATGGTAGTGGCTGCATTCCCTCAAAGATGTTTAGTGCGTATGCAGGCTCTTCCTAGGAACCTTTGGCAAGCACTTGTTTCTAGTTGTCTCAAATTTGCAACATACCCAAATTTCTATTATTTTTTTGTTGCTATAGTCAAATTAATAACCTCACTTAATTTACTATCTACTTAAAGGCAAGAACACACACAAACTTTTTTTTAATATATATCTGTATTAGATAACAATATCCAAGTCTCACGTTACGAGGACTAATCAAAGGGTACATTAGAACTAAACTGGCCTAAAACCAGGCTCAAACCAAAATGTGAAACTTTAGACAACAAGGACATAGAAAGATGCAGATTCAGAGTCTGTGTGCATTCCTGGTGGCTGAGGCTGAGAAGAGCGTGTATAGCGCGGGGAATCGTGTGACACCTCTAGTGGTGTCAATTCATTTCAGGCTCAAAAATGGTACAATAGTGTCATTATCGAATCAGGACAATGGGCCTTTTGAGATCGGTGGAGAGGTCGTGCTACATAATGCTATTTGACGTTTCACATTCCTACACCAACTCTTCCTGCTAATCATTTTAACTTCACATATTTAAGGAGTGGAGTCACTGGTATAATTGTTTATTCATTATTTTTAATGGTGCACTATGTAAATTTTCTGGTGGAGGGTTTGTCTCCATGATTGTGTAATTACTTTCTTGGAATGTTTCACAGTATGGTATTAAACTTAACTATCTCCATGGAAACAAGCAGACCACAATACCGGTCAGATCTGTGTAGAGGATTGCTTGCTGACTGTAGGTGCTTAAGTTCTTTGAGCAATAAAAACACCCATAAATGAATGAATGGAGGATGGATAAGTTTAATGCCACACTGTGAAACATTTCAGACAAAATAATACTATCTTCATGGAAACAAACAGGTGGTGGATTCACAACCTAAAGGTCTGCACGGGACAGAATTTTCAGTCCCGCTCCCGCAAAGAATTGTAATTTTCGGTCCCACTCCCGCCTGATTGTTCTCCAATCACAACAGAGTCTGGAATGCTGTCACAGAAATCCCAGTATTTCACATTTGTTTCATTCACACATGTTTGAGCAACTCTTTATTATTAGTCTGGCTACATCTTCAAAGCTCAAAATGAGCTGTTCCTCCTTGTGATGTCATGAAGCTTTAGTTTTCAAGTTACCAGCTCCTTTTACCTTTAGTCAGCAGAGATTGGCAGTTGTGGAGCTCAAATGATCCAAATGATAAAAACACAGTAAACAACACAGTGGGGGCATTTCCTGTATTACCACATGACATCACAATGTGTTTTCTGTTTGCGAGAAGAACTCAGCCTAAATATCCAGAGTTTGTGTGTTAAACATATGTGAATGAAACAAAACAAAACTCCGGATATGTTTTTCACGAGGAAACAACATTATAACATAAATCAGAAAATAGCGTAATATGGGCCCTTTAATTCTCTTTTTGTGTTTAGTTCCAGCATTTGGTCTCCAGTGCCACAAATCAGCTGGGAGTTTGCGGTCCCCCTGCTGTACATAATGGTGTCGTGTTGTCATGAGAAAAAACAATCACATCCTCCAAAAAACAACTTAACAACATCCAACTGTTTACACATTCCAACAAAATCTATCATAAATCATTTTTATTTGACTGCTGTACCCAAGACTAAACTCACGCATATTTAAACTCATTTGAGCAAACACTAAAAGGACAGCCATATTTCATCCACCGTGGCATTTTCTCATAGATGTAAATTGAAGCAGTTTCCCACAGGTCTAGACCATGGTGGCATAAGCGCTTCACATTTGAGTCATTTCATTTAAAGCTGCATTGAGTAACTTGTCTGGTGCCTAGACCATAAACTTAAGAACCTCCATGGAGACTTGCAAGCCAAATTACAGGTTAGATTTTTGGAGAGGCGACCCCACTCTCTGTAAGAATGGATGGAAGAATGAAAGCTATTTTTGAGAAATAAGTAACACCTGTAGTTGAGTAAATGTAAGACAGATTAGTTTAATACCAGGCTGTGGACAACAGGCTCTATTCATGCTTATGTCACAAACTAGGATGCGATTACAACCTCCTGTTTACCAACCATGGATCTATTAAAATAACTGGATAGGGTATTTCTAGCTTGTAGCTGCTTCCAGTTGACGTAGTGGTCACTCACTGGTACTTCAGCGGAAAAAATCCTCTGGGCTGAGAAAGGATTTTTCTCATAGAGAGCAATGTAATCAAAAACTGCTCGTGTTTAGCTGACAGGGCGCCTACAACTTTCAAAAATGTTGGATTTGTTGGCGATTTTTACCTATTTTTAGATCATAAACTTTATCTCATCTTAAAATTCTTCAGTTGTCTTAAAAAATTCTTTATAATCATAAATCTCCGGCTCCGCTCTGCTCTGCTCTAGTTCCTCTCGCTCTGATTGGTCAAAGCGATCACAGAATACCGCGCTCCATGTGTGCGCTCGCGTTCATTTGCATGTGCCCACTGGAGAAAAGAGCACTACTGCGCATGCTCAATCGGCCCATAGCCACCGGAAGTACCGCACCGGGCTAAAGGCTAATCTGGAATCATTTGCCATTGAGCTCGGCCTATTGACTTGAATGGGCAGACAGTTTGAAACCTCAGGGCTTGGTATTTACTGACTGTGATAGAACCCATTGAAGTAAATGTGATCAGCGGTTAAATGAAGACTGCATATGTATGTGCTGTTTAGAATAATCTTGAATTTGGCGCTGTCATCACTTCTAATCGCATGTACCCAGTGCACTCAGAGTTGTATGTCAGTGGGGAAATTATGAAAACTGAGGTATGGTTGTAATTGTTGATTAGCCGATAGCATAACGGAACACTACAATGACATGTAGGTGAAGAACACTGGGCCATTTTCTCATTTTTCCTAGATTTTGTCAGACACTACTGCAAACAAAGCCTGCCAGAAGTTGTAATTGCATCTTTCCAAACGTCTTCCTGGTTTGTGACGTAAGCCTGAATAGAGCTTCTCCAGAAAAGTTACACAGTGGACCTTTTTGTTACACTATTTTAGTGTATAAATGTCACTTATTGCTTCTACTGAACAAAAAAGCACTGATTACAGATTTAAAACGGTTATTTCTATATGTTTATGATAAGACTACAAGCAGGTACAGCACAAGTATAATCTATTTTGCAGTTTTTTTACTCAGATAGTTTTTACACTATATGAGCATGAAAATTAGACTATAGGGGACCACCGTAGTCTCTTATATTAAAGGTGCACTCTGTAACTTTTCTGGTGGAGCATCCCTCACCTGCTCGTCTTCATGGAGATGTTATTGCTTTATCTAGAATTTTCCACAATAGAGATTAAACCCCTCTACACTGTAAAAAAAAAAAATCTATTCAAGTTCAGATGACTTGAATTAAGAACGTTTCATCGTGATTTGAGTCACTTTCACTTGACAAGTAAAATTACCTGCCAGTAGAATAAGACATTTTGTACTTAAACTATGAAAATACATCTGGCTACACTTAAAATAAGAAAAACAACAACTTTTTTCACTTAAAATAAGAAAACTAATTGAATGTCGCTTGAATTAAGAAAAACTAACTTATTCCATTGTAGATAATTTTACTTGTCAAGTTGAATCTACTCAAATAAAGTAAAATGTTGTTAATTTACAACAATACAGGTCAGATCTGCGGAACGAATATTGTATTTTTGAGAAATGGAAAAGCACCTGTAATGAACAAATGCTGGATAGATGTGTTTAATGTCATACCATGGAACATTCCAAGCAAAGTAATAAAAGAAAAGTTGCACAACGCACCTTTATTGGGAAACACTGATTGAATCGGAACATTTGCGTTGCTTTGACAGTTGGCCGGGATGGAGTCGGGATACGCCTGTTTCTGTGGCAACGAGGTGGAGCTGCAGGAGAGCGGGGAGTCACCTGGGATGGAGTGTAACCATGTCTGCTTCGGCAACCACAACCAGCCATGTGGGGGCGACGGATGGGTCATCATATTTGACAGTGAGTGAAAAATATATCTTCAGTCTTAAAGTGGATTACAGGCACACTGCTATAAAGAGAATATCTAATTTGAGTTAAAACGTACTGAGCTATTTTTGTATTTATTTATTTACTAGGGACAGTGCACATTAAAGGTCCTGAATGGACTCTTGTTAGCTTTAGTTAAGAATGCTTTAAGTTATGTTATTATGTGGGTATCGCCTCAAAAACATACCCAGAGTTTTGTTTTGCTTCATTCATACATGTTTGAGAAATTGCCAAATGCGGCCCTTTAACCTTTTAATCCGGCCAGACAAACTTGAATAAATTATAATAGTAAAAGTTGTAATGCTTTGTAATGATTTTCAGTTGAAATTCAAGCACGTTTTCTACATATCCCATGTTATTTTTTCTCTTATGAGGTGGATTACCAAAACACTCCTTTCATCTGCTCCTTGTCCGGCCCTTCTGTCAAATTTTAAATCCCTTTGTCACCCACGAGTCAAAAAGTTTGCCCACCCCTGGTCTATGTGCATCTCCAAAACTGCAAATGCTCTGTTCCCCCTTGCGATGTCATGAAGCAGTAGTTTTCAAATTAACAGCTACCTTTAACCTTTTATTCAGTAGAAAGTGTGTTTTATGTTTGAAAGAAAAACGCCTAAATATGCAGTTTGTGTGTTAAACAAGTAAATGAAATAAAACACAACTCCATGTACGTTTTTGATGTGGAAACGACATTACCGACAGTAATATCGGCCCTTTAATGAATTTTATGAAGGATTATAGCTACCAAGATAATTCATCCGCATTGCCTAGGCAGGTAACAAAACTGGCTCTAAGTCTTTTAAATCGCTTAGTCACTTACTTGATTGATGGTGTCTTACTTTACTCAAATTTGTATTAGTTAACTAGTATTTTACTGGGATTATAAGGATTGGGGAGAGAAATGTGAGTTTACTCTGTCTTTAGTTTGTTTAACTTTTGTTTTTAGTCATTTTTTTTGCCTGAAATCCATGTCAGCCTGTGGTCTTGTGAGTGCAGTTTACGTCAAATACATTGTCAGATTATAGAGGTTGGATTTAGCCTTGATGTCATGGTGAAATATTCATACATGGTGAAAAGTTTTAGCACATTCCTAAAACAAAATTATATGTTGAAACTAGTCAGTTATTATTTTGTTTTTGTGAACTCAGGTAATCCCAGCTTGTGTAGATATTGTGTCTTTGCTGTGTAGTTTGTCTTGGCTTTGCAAACACTACCTACTGCTAGATTGAATCACTCTAATGTAAACAAATGATAACAGGATGAAGGAAAAAGGTACTTTCCCAAACCTCTGTGCCATTTGAGATTTCTACAACAACATCTTACATCATAGAAAACACACTGAAATTCACAGTGGCTCTGATTTCCCTGTGTCACACTTACTGTCTTGTCAGCAGACTAGAGTTTTAAAGGTCTTATATTACACTAAATTGAGCCACGTTAAAATGTTGTCATCTACTCAGAAACATACCTGGAGTTGTGTTTTGTTTCATTCATGCATGTTTGAGTAATCCTTTATTGTTATTTTATTTTTCTGTTAAGATCAAAATGCTCTGTTCCACCTTGTCATGAAGCGGTAATTTTCAAGTTAACAACTACATATTATTATTTCATTATTTCATTATTTATTTATTTGTAAAAGCACATATTAATGAACATTTAAAATGCAAAATGTAAAGATTATAGCCAATTTGTCTAATTTCCATCTTAAATCCCTCAGCAGATTGATGTGAAATCACCTACAGGACAGGGAAAAGTATAGCAACAATCACACAAATGTGCATACAATTCATTTCAAACAGTTCATTTGAAGTTCGAAGTCAAGAGCCCTTCAATATATAAAAAAAATGTAATGTTTGTTAAACATGGTGACATATTTGACCATTGAACAATTTGACCTTTTGTTCAGTAGATATTGGCAGTTCAGGTCTGAATTAATCCAAATTAATCTCGTCAAGGTGCATGGAGTTTAAAAACATTACTTCCTGACCGCATATTACCACATGATATCACAAGGTGTTTTTCGTCTGAGAGAACTTTGCGTAAAAATGCAGGGTTTGCACGTTAAACATGTGTGAATGAAACAAAACATAACCCCAGGTCTGTTTTTGACGAGAAACATTTTAACATAGAACAAAAAAATGCGTAATATGGACCTTTAACTTAACTGAACTGTTTACTTGCTTCCCTAAAATGAAAAAGAAATTTGAATTTAATCTGCATCCTACGCTGTGATCTCCACGTCAGGGTGCAGGCATAATCATAACTCTTAAGTACAGGGCTGCAGAGGTGAGGGGCTAAGTGCATTTTGTGTGCTCCTGTAAAGTTTATAGGAAGTGAGGTGAGGACAGTTGGTGCTGCTGGCATTTTTCACACCTGTCATTAAAACTGTGGTTGGATTTTAGCACACTCCCAGAAAGGTCAACAAGGTGATATTCTCTAGTGCGTATAGTGGACAATTCAAACCTGAACTTGGAGCACTTTTTGTAGTGTAAACTTTTATGAAGGATTTATGTATTTTGGTCTGTGCACAATGTAAATACTATGAGGGGGAGTGGACTTTCTTTTATTAAGTCTTTGCAGATGAAGGTGGTGATTTAAAATGTCTAAAATATAAAATAATGATCCACGGATGTTGTAGACGGTAACTATACAGCAGACAAACGCATAATATATCAGAAGTAAATTTCTGATTCAATTTTCCCATGGACTATTTGAAAAAAAAAAACTATATTAAAAGTTTGAAAGCTTGCTCAGATATAATCAACTAAGTAGAAACTAATGAGCACAGGACCTATACTTAAACTTCAAATATTCAAAAACTTCAAAAACTTTATAAACTGTAAACTTATTAAAACATTTCACCAAATCTTGTTTTAAACATGCTTTTTGGACTTAAAGCCACTGTCTTGGATGGATATTACTAAGCACAAAGCTAAATTTACTTCTGGAACCATAGCAGATCTGCAGATTGCGGTCACTGTTTAGCTCCATTCTTCTATGACCAGCTTCAGGAAATTAAACTTTTTGAACTAAGTTAAAGTAATAAAATAGTCAGATAAAAAGTGTTCCACACTAGGTTTATATATATATAATATGAATGCAACTGACTCTTAATTATGGAGTGTAGTCAGTGATCATTATTTCTATTGTGCATGAAAATAATAATTTCTTTCTTTATTTTCTTTTTTGACATTTGGATTTAATAATGTCTTTGTTCTAATAGTTTTTGGGATGTGCTTTTGAATCTATAGAGATAACAATCTCAAGATATAATTATGATTATTTTAATAATATATAGTACATATTGAATTGCAGTGTTGGGAAGTAACTCAATACATGTACCGAGAATATGTGTTCTTATAACAAAATTTAATAACAGTATTCAGGCACAGTTAGTTTTCTAAAATCAAAGGAATACTTTGCAATACATGATTACAAAATACTGGCTTCAAACTGCACAATATCAGTGAGAAAAATAGAAAACATTGCTATTATACCATGTGCATGTGTATTTTTCGTTCTCCAGTCAGTGTGGAAATGCTTAATAATCATAAAGCTGTTTTCAATCTTGTATTGCATCTTTACACTATAATTTATGTGCAACTCTGCGTGAAAGTATGTTAAGTATCCAGAATACAGTACTCTGACTGGCCCATGTATCAGAATACATTACAAAATACATTTTAAGGCATTCAGTATTCTGTAACTAAATACATTTTCAAAGTAATTTTCTCATCAGTGTTAAATTGCAAAGACTTATTTTTCCTTCTAAATTGCCCCAACTATAATTTCCTTCGTTCTGAAAAAGCATGATTACTTGACCAATGTGCTCCACATACAAAACCACGGCACACTGGATTATTCATAGAGAAGAATGAGCAGGTTCATGCACCTTTCAAAACCTCTGCAAATAAGTTTAAATTAATTTAGCAGAAAATTGCACACAGATTCTCCTGCCTTTTTATATTCCAAAGAAGCACACGTCCTCATCACTGACTCTAATATAAACTCTGGAGCAGTTTTTAATTTCACACTTCTGTAACGTTCCCTCTTCCAGCTCGTGTGGGGGCCTGCGGTGGCAACTACACATCCCCTTCTGGAGTCATCTACTCTCCTGATTTTCCTGACAAGTACAACCCTGGCCGTGTGTGTTACTGGACCATACAAGTACCGGGGGCCTCTGCCATCATCTTCAACTTCACCTTCTTTGACATTTCGGACCAGACAGACATGGTGGAGATGTTGGACGGTTACACGAACCAGGTGGTGGCACGTTTTGACTGGCGTAGCCCACCACGAGAGCTGGTCAATATCACTGGAGATTTTGTCATCTTGTACTTCTTCTCCGATCGCACCAACCAGGCCCAAGGATTCGCCCTGCTTTACCAAGGTCAGAGAAAAGTACTACTAAAAAGTGTGTTAAAGTTTTGAGTGATGAAATGTTGTGCTGCCTCCAAACAAGGGTGACTGTAGTAGTAAAAATGGGACATGGTGGCTCTATAAATAGAATAGTTCATAGATAGGCCTGTCACTAGAACAAACTTTGAAGTATGATATATTGCTTCAGAGATATACTGTCATAGAAATAATGATAATATTGAAACTACTTCATGTCACTGACACAAAAAACTATATAAAAAAGTTTAAAGTAGGCAGTATCATTAAAGGTGCATTGCGTATCTTTTCTGATAGAGGGTGCGTCCGTTATTGCCTTGTCTGGAATGTTTCACACTATGGTATTAAACCTTTATATGTCCATGGAGATCAAACCAGATCAAGTTACAGGTCAGATCTGTGGCAAGGCAACCCCGCTCACAGTCAGAATGTTTGTTTTTCTAGGTATTTTTGAGCTATAAAACCACCTGTAATTTAATAAATGTAAAGTGGAGCTGTTTAATGCCATACTGTGTAACATTCCAGAAAGAACAATGACATATTCGTAGAAACAAGTAGGAACGGACCCCCAGTCAAAAAGTTACATAATGCAGCATACACAGCTTTAAGGTGCAACATATAAATAAGGTTAATAATTAGACATAGAAGTCACTTGTTCATCCTTTTACAGCTCAAATGTTATTGTATTACAAGAAATACACCAAATACATTTTCAAGTATACTTTTAACAGTGAAACTCTGAAGGACCCTCCACCAGAAAAGTTACACCGTGCACCTTTAACAACTTTAAAGTTGCAGTCACTTTTGTAAGTCACTTTTGCAGTAAGTCACTTTGAGGGGGAGATGGCCATCTGCTTTTCTCTATGGAGATGTTATTGCTTGGCCTGGGATTTTCCACAGTATAGCATTATCTTATCTAGATTTTCTGATCTATGTTATAATGTTGTTTTCTCATCAAAAACATACCTGGAGTTGTGTTTTGTTTCATTTACATGTTTTTAACACAAACATTTTTAACGCAAACCCTGTATATTGAGTTCTTCTTCCAACAGACTAATAATTCAGTTTTACTCAAACACATGTCAATGAAACTAAACACAACTCTGAGTACGTTTCTGATGAGATAACAACATCCTAACATGTCTTAAAGCTCACAAGAATCCAGTTTGCGTATTATAGGACTTTAATCTCACTTTTTTTTGTAAACAATTCACATGGCACCAATGAAAACCTAGCACATTAAACCTAACCTGTCTATGGGGTGGGAAACAGGGAGCTCAAACCAACAGAAGGACAGATGGTTACCTCTCCCTCAGCCCCAGCCTCACATTTGTATGTCCAGGTGTGTGCTGTGCTCTGTGGCTGTCTGGAGCAGATTTTCATGGCACTACTTGAATGGACTCTGGCTTTTAGCTGCAGTGAGGCACTTGTCACACCACTGGCGAGCCCTTCTCTTTCCATTTGCCAGTCAATGTCTCAGCGCCCGGGGTAACGCTGCATATTTAAATACGGGTTTTGTTTTTTCTAAGAGCTCCCTGTTATCAGACTGCAGCAGCCTGGTCTCTGCTCCTAAACCAATATCACAGCCAGCTGAACTCTTCATGCCTCCTACTTGGACTAAATCAGTGCGGGGATATATGAAGCATGCTGGGGTCAAGTATATCACATATACAATAAATATTTTCAAGTGTAGAGCAGCTACTGAGTAAAAACAAATGCACTATTCCAGTTTTTCAAGTTAACAGCTATCTTTTACTTTTAGTTCAGTAGAGATTGGAAATTCCAGGACCAAAATCATCCATATTATACTAGTGAAGGTGTATGGAGTTTAAAAACAGAGTGGAAGACTTAATGTATTGCCTCATGACACAAGGTGGACTGTTTTCCGTCTGAGCAAATAGTAAAACATGAGGATGAATACAGGCGAACCAGGTGAGAACCAGTTACGTCTAAGATAAATAAATATAATAAAATGCAAATAATAAAAAGCTTCAAGCTGTTCCATAGACAAGAGCCATATTACTAGAAAGACGCCTCTCCGTGACTGTGTGTCCAGACTTTGCGAAGGTTCATAGGGTAAACGCAGTAAGAAGCCCCAAGACCATTAAGACATTTAAAAACCAGTAAAAGATCTTTAGCACTGAAAAAACGGTATGCCCACTAGACACACATGTTAAAGAATCAGCTCTACGTTTTTTAATCCTTTCCTTATGTGCACAAAGCTGCGTCTGGCCGTGCGTTCAGGTTAAAACAAACTAAATTTATTGCAAACACTCTTTCCAGCGTGTCTGGAGTAGCCCTCGACACCACATGTTTACGGCTTACACAGATGGTCCTGCAACTTCAGCTGCTTTGGCGCAATATTAAGCATTCACTCGTGCTTCGCTGTATATAAGTCCTTTCAACATTCGCGTCAACACTGTGTATCCTATTACTGCGAGAGGAGAGCTTAGCCACAGTAACAGCTCTGCTAAGTGATCCGTGTCCAGCGAGAGGCGAAACTACAAACAACATGGCCGCCGCGGGATCTTGGGTTTCACTGTACACTATCACTCATCGCTCCATAAAACAGAAATACAACTGTCACATTTTACAAATTGGAGATGGAGAGTTGAACCACAGTAGTGTGAGGCAGCTGCCGAAAGGGAACCAGAAAACATGTCCAATGAGCTGTTCAGTGTACAGGGTGTTCTACTGTATATTTGACAAATGTTGGTGAAACCTAAACAGAAACATATGGAAGGTTGAGTTTAGTTCACATTATTGTAGGCCTGCCGTGGTAATTACTATGTCGAACAATCATGTTTGGGGGTCAGTGTTTCACATGTACTTTTTCTCTGTACTAGTGGGAAAATATAGGTTATTTTTCTGTACTATGATAAAATTATGAACTTGAATTATTACTCATTGTAGACACAAACTAACTTACTATTTTGTTAGTTATTCATCAACAGATCATATTTTTTAACAATATTGTACAATTAGAATATGTTTTTGTGGGTAATTCTGCTTTATGGTTTGGTTTTAATATCATTTTGCATTGTCTGTACTGACTACTTCACATTTTAAAAGAATGAGTAGGAATAGTATTTGAATAAAATGTTCTTTGTAATAATTGTAAATCTTTAAGAGTGTTTTGGAGGGACATCAAGAAAACAAGACAATGTGAGAATAAATTATATGTAATAATTTAATACACTATAGTAAACATAAAAAGTATAATAAAATATATCTATGTATATATATTGTTTTCCTAGTACCCGAATGAGGGAGTACTCAAAGTGCTAGACAAAGCTTTGGGGGTACCCGAGCCAAAAAAGGTTGGGACTAAAGTCTTAGATGCAAAGACAATCATCCATCATCCACTGCAAATGTTTAATCCAATATTAGAATATTTAATCCCACTAAAACGCATACCCATATTTTGTCTTCCAGCACTCCGAGATCCAGACAGACCCGACTCCGAAGAGGATGGGGAGGGCATTTCCAGTACCACAGGCCCACAGCTGGCTGGAGGAGTGACTGAGCGTTCCAACGGCACCACCGGGGGGCGCTCTACTTCGATCCTCTACGTCATCACGTCCAGCCCTGGGAAACCGGAGCACAACATGCCAGGTCAGTGGGCTGGACGCTCCCAGACCACCGGCCACAGCGCTAGTATGTGTCCCCCTGTGTCTTCTCCGCACTGGGGAAACTTTCTCTGTCCCTGCTCCTTTCTTACTCTTTCTGCTGGTCCATGTAAATCTTTACAATGTTAATCAAATAATTAGTCAGCCAGTCACAAACATACGGGCAGAACCACAGCTCTAAATGCAAGGAACAAATTGTCACATTTAGACAGTGGTTGAACGTAAAGGAAAAGTTGTAAATTACTGTACTTAAGTGAAACACTTTGGTATCTGTACTTTTGGAGTACATTTTTAAGTGAATATTTTTTACTTTTACTTCACTACAATTGAGAGCAGGTATCTGCACTTTCTTCTCCACTATATTTTTGAACTAGACTGAAAAGTTAAAAAAATGTATTATTGTGTGAGACTTGTTGAAAAGCCTGCAGGGTTTATATTTTATCAAGGTCACAGTTTGTGCAAACAAAAATGATTGTTTCTGTTGAACAAAATTCTGCACAAATCATTACATTTAAAGCTTTATTAGATCTCAGACACAGAATTCTTTAACTTTTTACTCTTTAAGTACATTTTTAAAAAAGTACTTTAATACTTTTACTTAGATTCTTTCATGTCATACTTTTACTTTTACTTGAGTATTTTTTTCTTCTGTATCTGTACTTTCACTTAAGTAACAAAATTAAGTTTCCACCACTACATTTAGATGTACACTTTTAGAAGTATTAGTAGTAGCAGGCATGATGCAGCATAGCATTGTTTATTGTCCGTTTATACAATTTGGCTCATACAACAGTTATGAATTACTTCTTTGTTTATTGGCTTGTTTATTGGCTTGACAAGATGATTAAAATAACCAATCAGTTTTTCCCTTGTATTGATCAAGCAATACAGTACCTATTGATATATTGCAGTGACATCATCCTGGGGGCGTTCTACATTTTCTATGACTTAATATTTCTGCTGTTACCACAGTGACACAATGCAGACATTAGCAAACACTGCCTAAAAAGGTTTAAAGTCTGAAAACTCATGAAAAAAATACAAAATTAATATAACCTTTGATTAATACAAGGACTAGAGTGGGTTTAACAGCACAGATTTTACCACCAAGTCAGATCTTTATGGTCAGATTCAAACAGAGTAGTGCTCACAGTTTGCATCACACCCCCAGGAAATGTTGCTGACATGATTAAAAACAAATGCATATAGCTTTCGATCTCAGTTACATCAACCAGACTTTATGCCATTCTCCAATTTTTTACTCCACTCCAAACCACATCCTTCTTCTGACAGAAGACTGGCTGAAGACCTCTTTATCAAAAAAACCCAAGCAGATCATTGATAATTGAAAATGATTGCATCTAGATTTGACTGAGAGCCCTTCTTTTCCTTTTAACCTCTGCACAAATTGCTCATAAGTTTCTGTCTCAAAGAGCTATCCATCAGCTCTATTTCTCAACTAAAGGAAACCAGATGTTCTCCCAAAATCATTACTGTTTCCCAACTGCTTTCTTGCCAAACACATCTAACAGGTGTGTTTGTGCTTAGACCATTTGCTAATTCTATCATTATGTTACTCTATACGGTGAAGATAGTGTGTGTTGCTGTGATTCATGCACTGAGGTCTTCTTCTGTCTGTTTTTAGTGTGGACCATCTATGCTCTGGCCGCTCTGCTCATCCTCACTGTCATCGCCATGGTGGCCAAGCTGCTGCTGCACATCACAGTCAAGTAAGTTTATATTTTCATTTGATTTAATTTTATTTTATTTGAGTAAATAGTCACACAGGGTAACACAAGGACAGCATTTTTAAATAAATACTACAGAGACAATATAAAAAGACTTAACTAAATTACTCTTTATCAATACAAAACATGCTAAGAAATCACGCAAATGGTACATTACAAAAAAGTTTACTTATTATGTGAAATTATTAATTAAAATATGTCACCCTGGCTTGCATTCTGGAGTCAGTGGTTATGGTGACAAAGGGGTTAGTACTATTCTCCTACATCGGGCACAATTTGGTTAGCCTGATTCATCAGCCGGTTTCACTTCATTTTACTTCGTAGAAACCGTCTGACCTCACAGTGTTAGAATTTGTTCGCTCAACAGGAGGCGGGTACTTTTTATCATTTAACCAATCGCTGCTATTTAGTAGTCACATATGTGATGCGCCGCTAAGGGGCTAACTGGTATATTAAGCTTTTCCCAAATCCTGTAGGAAGAAGGGCAATAACGTCTTTCCCCTTGATGAAATTCACCAAACATTCTCTTTGTTCCGGCTTTAAATTCTCGATCTCGGGAATCATTGACAACACAGAATATATGGCTCTTCACTGACTGGCAAGTGCCCGAACTTGCACTTCCGGGGTTTTTGCGAACGTCTAGTGTATTTTGATTCCTGAGCTAGGTGCTGGAGAGAAATTAAATTGAGACACTAGGTGGCGCCAGCCTGGCCACATTTTGGTGTCAATCTTTAAAAAAAAAAAAAGATGACAAATATGAATGAAAAATCATCATTATTTCTGTAATTTAAAGTTAAAATTTCTGAAGTTGGGGGTACTGTAGTTTAATTGAATGCACTAGTATGTTAAAATGTATTTGTATATTGATGGATAAGAATAAATACTTATCTATAAGCAATACAAAAACATGATATCAGTTATATCACAACCTATAAGTATCACAACCCACATGTAATTTTTGGTAGTATTAATTATCATGATCAACATGTTACTGCAAGAAGTTTTTGACACCCTTAACCATTGGAGACCTAAATTAGAGATAGACCAGTATATCAGTTGGTAGATATATCAGGCAGATATTTGGACTTTTTAGTGTATTGGCTGTTGGCCTTAAATCCCCTGCATCGGCCGATATTTGAAAAACACAAAAAGCGTGACTATACAGCTCTCTTATAGGTTTGGGGTAGTTTGTCATAGATTTAAATTATATAAATTTGAGAAAATAATCTAAATCAGCCCAAAATATCATCCCAAAATTTGGCAGAGCTTATCTCAGCTTCTCTGTATTCTAAACAACTGGCATTGGCCATGAAAAAAAACATATCAGTCGATCTCTTAACGTAAATCAAAACAGACTTTAATATGTTCTGTGTCAAACCTTTTTTATAAAGAATCCTTATAAGAGACATATCATGTTTAAAAGTGAACTTTTCTCACTGCTATCGCCGCTGGTGTTTGGAGTACACCTGGCAAAGCATGAATGAAACATAGCAGCACACAGAGGAGCCAGTCTCTTTGTAGAGCAGCACTTTTGTTCTTTTAAGCATTCTCTTTATTGTCTTTGCACCTCTGGGCACTTTCTTTTGTGGTAGTTTTATTTCAACTTTCTCTCTTTCTCTTACCTTTTCTTCTCTTTCTTCTCTCAGTGCTTCTGGCTTTTTCCCTTTTTGCCTGATTCTCATCCAAGCTGTTTTTGTGTCTCAGGGCTCCGAACATCCCAACAGTAAGTGGTTCGGACAGCTGCAGTCAGAGCACCACATCTTCAGAGCCTTGGATCATCCTTTACCGACCTTCCACCATCTCCCTGTTCAAGAAGAAGCTAAAGAACCACCACGGAGACCTCAGCCCCCTGGTGGGCAACTAGAGCCACTGCCGCCATCGTTGCTGCTGCTGCTGATAATAATGATGATGCGCTTCACTGAGAACTAATCACTTCCCTCAATTCTTTTGTGTATGCCGAACGCCAGGACTACACCAAATAGGACTCGGATGAGCAAGCTAAAGCTAACAAGCTAAACAAGTGCGTGGCTAAGAGCTAATGAATGGGGAACTGCTACTAAAATGGCAATAAGGCCAGAGCGGCTGGGCCAAAGAGGAGAGGACGCGAGGGGTATTCCGTGAAAGCAGTGGACTATCAAGTAAAACAAATTGCTCGTAAAGGGTTTGTAGTTCCATTACTACAAAATGATGCCCTTCAAGATTTTGCAAACTGTGTTGAGGGACTAAAACAAGACTTTACTGTACGTACTGCTAGCGCTACCTGCAGTTCACCAGTGTCAAAACAAGTTGGACACACACATAACTGCCTCATATGGACCAAAAACAATCCTTCCATCCAAAGAAACACGTATTTGTTTGTTTTCTTGTGCAAACTTTTCTGTCGAGTTTTGCAGGACATGAGCTCTCCGAGGATGACGACATGAAATAATAATAAGTCGGAAAGATGGATACCACAGCACTTTGGGGAATAAATCATGCGTTATAAAAGATCTAAGGCTGGTGCTCGCCCACTCTTCACTCGCTGTGGATTCGGGTGGGGAGAAGAAACCGCAACATGTACCCGAGGGGGTTAGTTGTGTTGGAAAGACGGGTGGTGCAGATTGCAGACAAGCTAACTGCCATTTAGGGATTGGCTGGGGTAGATCTGAGAGAGGTGTACGTTTGCTTGTGAGTGAGGGAGTGGGTGGTTTTCCGGTCTGATCGGGTTTAAGTAAAGTGCCTTAAGGATCTGTCTTGGAAGGTTCACATCTATTTGTGTGACCAAGGCTTGTCTGTGGACTGAGCACTTGTTTAAGATCACTATGAGGTCTTTGATTAAGAAATGGCAGAAATGAATGGTAAATGTTGATACCATATAAGCAGAGGTGGGTGAAGTGCACGATGTTGTTACTTTAGTAAAAGGACAAGTAAAAGTATAAATATCACATGAGAAAATTTACTTAATTAAAAGTACGAAAGTAGGCTACATGTTTTAAAATTTACTTAAAGAGTAAAAAGTATTTTGCACAGGTTTTGAAAGTTTTTCAGAACTGTTAAAAAATGTAGTGGAGAGTGAAGTACAGATACAGGCTGTTAATATAATGAAGTAAAACTAAAAAGTATCCACTATAAAATGTACTTAAGTAATGTACAGATGCCTAAAATATATACTTAAGTACAGTACTTAACTACTTTTACTTCATTACATTTCAGCACCGGAAATCAGTTAAATTTACTTGGGTAATCTTTAAAAATAATGCAGTTCTCAAAATATTTTTTTTAATACCCGAGTTTTACTTCTATTTTAGTATTTTAAAGTAACTGAACTTTGAACATTTGAGTTTTCAATTTTTTGGAAATACCAGATTCTACACTTTGTGGTCTGATTTGTCTGTCTAATTACATTCCAGTTACGCAGTAAGATATAATGTTTACCAAATACTATTATATTTGGGTCACAACTATTTACTTCTGCTAATACTATTCTAAAGTAATACATAGTGTACATAGAGTACATAGTTACTCTACCCACCTCTGACTATATGTGTAAACCAAGAGTAAACCTAGTAGACTGGACAGTGGACATTGTGAGCACATTGTCTTAAAGGGCCCATATTATGCTATATTCTGATCTATGTTATAATGTTTTCTCATCACAAACATACCTGGAGAAAACTCTGTTCCACCTTGTGATATCATCTGGTAATACGGTGCTCCGCTGTGTTTTTAAATTACACACATCTTCACTAGAATCATTTGCATAACTTCAGCCCTGTAAATGCCAATTTCTACTGAACAAAGATAAAAGTTAACTTGAAAACTACCACTTCATGACATCACAAGGTGGAACAGAGCATTTTGAGCTGTGGAGATATAGACAGAGTAATAATACGGGATTACTCAAGCATGTGTGAATGAAACAAAACTTAACTCTGGGTATGTTTTTGAGGAGGTAACAACATAACATAACATAACTTGGCTTAAAGCTCACAAGAGTTAATTTTGCGTAATATAGGACCTTTAAAGTACCAACCTCTTTCTGTAGTACAAGATAGCTGTTATTTCTCGTGTCTGTCTGCGTGCTCTGTCTGCATAGTCTGGGACATTTACTGAGCATATTGTTCACATTTAGTTGTCCTCTGATTAGAAGGGGGCACATGTCATTGTTGTACATTATGTAATTCAGTCTGGGGATGATGATATTTATGTCAGCTCTTTTATCTGGTGTTTTGACAAAAGCAAAGACAGCAAACTTTTATAGATTCACACACAAGCTTCTCAAATGTGGAAAACAATTTTATGCAGTAAAATATTTGCAACTTGCTACAGGACCCATGGCACGTAATCCAGTTGAAATACAGGGAGATTGAGATATGTTGTTACAGTTTTTAAAGGTGCGTTGTGTAACTTTTCTGGTGGAGGGTCCATCAAAGGCTTTTCGCTAAGGAGATGTAATTGCTTTATCTGGATTGTTTCACAGTATGTTATTAAACCTTTCTAGCTCCATGAAAACCAAACTAGAGCAAGTTACAGGTCAGATCTGTGGAGAGGCGACCCCGCTCACAATGGGAATTCCTGTTTTTATAGGTATTTTTGAACTATAAAACCACCCGTAATTGAATGAATGTAAAGTAGAGCTGTTTATGTCATACTGTGGAATATTCCAGGTAGAGAAATGACATATCCATAGAAACAAGCAGGTGACGGAGGCCCCAACCAAAAAGTTACACCTTAAAGATTCACTAAACACCAGAAAATGCTTTTTTTCACTGATGTACAGCGTAATTTTGTTAGTAAGTTGCTGTTTCCATCATATTTTTATGTTATGACTAATAATGTTCAAATGTTTCTAAATATATGAACCCATACTATACAGAGAACAACTGTTTCCCAACCTTTTCTCCTGGAAATATCAGCGTCATCGTGACAAACTTACCCAGTGTAACAACATGTCTCTGGAGCCTGAGCAGTGACTTTTAAACTACTTCTGAAAGGTCAAAATACAGTCACTGCACCATCTGCATAGTAATTGTCCTTCACTGTTAAACTAAAGGGAACTCCTCTCAGTACAGGGTCAACCCATTAAATCAACTGACTTCCTGTAAACAATGATTAGCATATTGATTGGATGTTAACATGAGATTTATACCAAATGCCCTTTCAACTTTTTATTTAGGTTTGGGACTGTCATAACATTGGTTCTTGGTTTCTATCTTTTGTGCACTTACATTGCATCCATATTGCAGAACTATTTTTAAATTACAGCAATTTAAAGAAACGTACTTACCACATCCAAGCACTTGAGGCATGAATTAAAATGTAAACAGAAGTTGAATAGCTAATTTGTAGTTACAAACATTTTTGATTGCAAGAGAAAAACTTTCTCTATATACTATATTAATTATTATAAAGAAAAACAGCAGGCCAAGTATGCAAGAAATTGAAAAAAAAATGACAAGTGAAAGTAAAGAGAAAAGTTTGTGTGTGTTTGTGTGTCAACTTCAACTTCAGATCTGACAGTGCGGCTCAGAGGAGGATTTTGGAAACCCAGTCTTTTTATTTTATTATGCAAACTGAAATATTTAGGCCTGTCAAGCATCTTCTGAGAGATTTGAAATGGAGGTCCACTTAGCTGACATAAGAATCACTAACATCATGAGTTGTGCATTGACCAAATCATTGTTTTCATGCAATTGTACATAGTTTAGTGAAATGTTTAATTTATACAGTAAATTATTGATTGTTCTTTTGTATGTGAATGGGATATAATCTATCTTTTGTATAAGTGAAGTACTTTGTAGTTTTATTTAATGTGTCCTGGTCGCAATAAACACTGTATGCATGTTTCGTAATTGTGGTGTTGTCATTTTTTTTGTATTTATAATGCATGTGGAAAATGAGATTGGGACAAGATCTCATGAGACAAAATTGCCACAAGATTGCACACACATGAGAGAAATTATCTTGTGAGATTTTTTTCCAAATGTTTACTGGACAAAAAGGATTACGAGTTGGTAAGTTACATCATTTACAGTTCCAAAAAGCAGTACTAAAATGGAAACAAAAATATGAAATCAAATAAATAAAAAATAGGCGGGACAAAATTGGAAACTGAATCGTGAAATGTATATCTGTGTATATTAGAAATTATGTTAAAATCTTGTCTTGTTCTTCTGGACCCAATCTCATATCTCTTCTCGTAATGCTGAAATTCGTCCCATCCTAAAATTCATCATGGATGACAGAGTTACTTTCATCAATTGTAGATCATTGGTTTACACAGCACTGAAAGCATTTCCTCCTGAGCTGAGTCCTTGAGGCATCTGAGTCTTAGAATAGCTTCTTTCATCCACGAGAGAAGCCACTTGGAACCTCAATATAAACAATAGTTGAAATCACTTAAATCACTTCAGGCTCCAGTCTTTAATTGACTTTATATTAAAATATTTATTTTAACCCGCTTTACATGATCCTAGTGTTTTTATTTCACTATTTTGTCTGTAAATAAATTCCTATTCCTAATATGGACATAGCAGCTCCAAATTCTCTCCTGTAACTGCTCGCGTTGTGAGCTTCATTTGACTGGAGCTAAATGGGCGACGTCACACTACCTTAGTCCACTTCTTTATCGTCTTGCTTTGCTTGCAGTGTTGGGAAGGTTACTTTGAAAATGTATTCCCCTACAGATTACAGATTACACACACCAAAATGTAGTTTGTAACGTAATCCATTAAATTACTTAAGGTGAGTAATGTAATCTGAATACTTTGGTTTACTTGATTTGCTGTAGAGAAGCAAAGACTAGGATATTGTAACATAAGATGTTTTGTCTGCTAAAAGTAAATAAAAAGCCCAGACTTTACTTAACCATATTAAAAAATATTATTGATAGAGGAGGAGACACGTCCGCGCAGCATGGTTTAGTCCTGGTTTAGTCTTGTTAAATCCTGTTTTAGTCCTGTTTTAGACCTGGTTTAGACCTGGTTTAGGTCTAGTTTAGGTCTAGTTTAGGTCTAGTTTAGACCTAGTTTAGATCTAGTTTAGACCTGGTTTTAGACCTGGTGTAGACCTGGTTTAGACCTGGTTTAGACCTGGTTTAGTTTCCGGCAATGGGTGGAATTACCGAAAAAAAGAAAAAGAAAAAAGTGGGGGTGGGGGATATAGCCCAAAATGTGAAAACAGGAAAACAGGAAAATACCGCCATGTAATCCATTTATTTCAGCAAAGTAACTGTAATCCAATTACCACTCACTGAAACAGTAACTCTAACTAAATACAGTTACTCATAATTTGTACTCTGATTACATAACTCCGGTACATGTAATCCGTTACTCCCCAACACTGTTTGCTTGAAATGTTCCACAATACACCACAGAGTGTTTTTATTGCTTGCCTGTTTTTTTCTTTTGAGTATCAATAGAAAACCTATCTGGATACATTTTCTTTTCAGTGAAAGATGCGTTTATGAGGTACATGCAATTCAAAAAGCTCCTCCATTTTGGCCTTTTCCACACTCAGTAGTCCATCCATGACCCAGCTTATCAGATCTCTGAAATGACTCCCAGACGATGTTAGTGACGCTCACCGTGGACGGGGTGGTCCAGGATCCCATGTGTAACCCATTGGCCCCCGGTGAGATGAGGGTCAAGCATGCAGGCTGTGTTTTCTGGAGAACAGCATGAGGCCAGCTTCACAGCGCAGATAATGTGAAAAAACAAACAAAAACTAAATCTAAAAAGACTCCGAATGATTTCTTAATTCATTAAAGGTGTTGCTTTGATCCTGCTCTGGAAATGCTTAGAGAAAAAACAGCGATGGTTGCAATATGTTGGCGAGAAATGTTAACTAGCCTAATCCTCCTATAGAAGCACATGTGTAAAACCAATGTGTGCTAATTTATACAACATGAACTTATTAGCGCTTCTTGTAAAATGCAATGGCCTATTGATCATTGGAGACCCGTAATTCTCCATCCTCACGTCATAACTGGCACGAAAAAAAAAAAACAAAAAAACAAAAGGTCTGGGAAACACATTAGTTTAGTTAAAACATGTGGTGACATAGGGGTGAGTTGTCTTGCCTCATTACCAGAAGTTGCTGAGTTGCTTTCTTGGACCATATGGGCATTTCTGTAGGCCTTTTTTTAGCCTATAGGTTTCCATGTTATCCCCTGTGTCATGGACCATGTATTAAATGTGCACTATGCAATTTTTCTGGAAGAGGATCTGCCACCTGTTTCTCTTCAGTGAAATCTTATTGCTTTACCTTGAATGTTCCACAGTATGACATTAAAATGATTTATTTTGTATTTATTTCGGAATGGGTGTTTACAGTGCTCACAAATACCTTAAAACACATGCATTGTTACTGTGAATGGGGTTGCCTTTCAACAAATCTGACCTGTAACCTGGCCTGGTGGCATTGCCTGTTAGTCTCCATGGAAACTGACAAGCTATACAATTACTGTACAGTGGAACATTCCAGGTATAGCAATAACATCTCCCTGCGGACAATTGGCTACACCTATAGATAATATCCAACTATGATTTTTCTGAAAAGCAATTAAAAGTAATAATTAGATTTGGGATTCTGTTCAAAAGTTCAGAGAGACTGAAATATGAGCTGCTTATCTATCACAAGAATCCCGTGCATTTCAGAACATGTTTGTGAAAGTCTAAACTACAGGGTTAATTCGTTTTGTTTGTAATGAGACACTGTATTTTGTAATTTGCAGAGGAAATTAAGTTACAGTCTTTCAAAGTGATTGCTATGAATCTTGCAGTGCTGCCAGGTACTCTCTTGGTTTTCTATTTATTCGCATCAATCTCAAATGCACTGATCCTCCAGCCCCTCCTGACAGTAAAGCTTGCTCTGTTCTCGTTGTCTATGCTATCTGTGAGTACCATTCAGTTGATTTAACCACCATCAACACAAAATCATCTTTGTTACTGACATTTTAGACTTACACAAACTTTATTGATCCACAAGGGAAATTATTTGGACACAGAAGCTCACACATCACAATATAATATAATAACAAAGAGCAACAATATAAACGGTAATAATAATAATTTTCTCTGAATCAATGCATGAGAAGAACAGTCAACATTTTTACAACTTAATTAAGTAAATATACAGAGAGGTTGTGATCAATAAAGAAACTTATGAATTTATTTACACTGAAAGCAGACCCCCAAATTATACACAAGGCACTCTTACTCCCCCTGGTGGAATTATACTAGCAACTGAATGAATTGGGTCTGACTTTACAGCAAACAACAAGACAACATTCATTTAGGATTTGAGTAATTGTTTTTTTGACAGCGACTCTTCCATTAACCCCTCAAATGTGACTAAAGCTTCTTTTTGTACAATGCAGTAGGCTAATTGGTATGGCAGATTATAGCAATCACATTCAGTTTTATTTTTATTTATTTATTTTTTTTTACTTTCTGAGAGTATTATCACAATATACCTTTGATATGTCTTGTCATAAAGTTACAGACAGAGTGTTCTTGTAAACATTTTGACTAGTCTCTCATACTGTGCCTGTAAGTACATTTGCATGATAATATGTGAAGAAAGACAGAAATTGGTGTTTTTAGTACAACAAAAATGTTCTATATTACACTAGACTGAGTACAGTTAGCTTTAAGCCGTGTTATTTAAGCCACAAAACACACATGGAGTTGTGTTTTATTTCATTATTTTCATTTGAGTAACCCACTACAGATAAAAAGCTCAAAAGCTCAAGCTCTGTTCCACTTTGTAATGTCAAATTATAAGTTCCTTTTACCTTTAGTTCAGTAGAGATGAACAAAACTAAGGCTGAAATTATCCAAATGATTCTAGTGAAGGTGTATGGAGTTTAAAAACACAGTGGAGCACTTCCTGCATGACATCACAAGGTGGAGTATGGTGTGTGGTTGGTGTGTTTTCTGTTCAAAAGAAAAACTAAATAAATATGCAGAGTTTGTGTGTTAAATATGTGTGAATGAAAGAAAGCACAACTCCAGGTATGTTTGTGAGGTGAAAACAACATTATAACATAGATCACAAAACATGCAATCTTTAAACAATAGAATTTATGAAACAATATACTCCCATATGCTTATATCTGCCATTTTTCTATATTAATTTAAAACTATGCAACTCTCTATGTGCAGTAAGTAAGTAATACTGCATTATGGAACTTTTTCTGATGTGGGTAGAATTAGCCTCTGTGACTGTAGTGGATTTGTGTGCATATAAATCTGGATTACTGGCTGTGCACTGACTTGTCTGTTTTGATCCTCCTCGCTCTATAATGTTGTCTATGACCCCAGAGCATTTTAGTCATCCCCTTCAGAGTGTTTTGAAAGCGTGTGTCGGCCTGTTTAATACTGGAGATTTTCGTGTATTATTGTAGCTTTATGTTGCTGACAGAAGTTTATGTACAGTAGCCTGTGATTTTCAAAGATGATTTTGATAGGTCAGTAAAATAAACCATTTAGTGTATTTCCGGGAATATAATTTTGTTGTTATTCTTTTTTTTTCTTTTGTCCCAAGGTGATCTATGTAAAGTAGTAAAAACGTTTTGTGAGCTAAGGTTTCGTCTGTCTAGGTAGGCTGCTGTTTATGTAACATAGCAAAATAAATCCACATTTATGCCATTTTACTCACATCTATTCTGCACACAATCATTAGCTTATATAAAATAAAATAAAAATCACTACTATGTTTCAGCTCCCTGTTATATGCTCCCTTTCATAATATATTATTTTATTTAGAATAGTCAATTGCTATGGCAACAATCCCACCTTTGCATCGTTCTGAAAACTGTTTATCTTCTTATGGGTTTAAGCTTCCTGTTTATAATTGATATTTTAGGAAGATAAAAGATTGGCCTATTATTTTGAATTATGCTAAATTAGTATGAGCATATTTTATACTACAGTATTTGGGTAGGGTACTGTATGCCTACAATATTTTCTAAACCAATACTCAAAATTTTAAGGATCCTGCAACCAAAATAGACTTAAACTCAGACAAACTACTGATCCACAAGGGAAAATAGTGTAGAAACTGTCCTCAGTGCAATATCATCTTATTCTAGATCAGACACTAGTTTTTATAATATTTTTTATGATCTATAGAAATTAATATTTTTTTTATTCAATAAATTTTTACTTTTTAAAAAATTACTTTTTAACTTTTTAAATAACTTTTAACTTTTAAATAACTTTTTTAACAACAGCTGCCAAAACATTCCACCGCATATTTATGACGCACACATGACGGCATAAACATTGGCCTGTCATCATGGCCGCCTCCATCAAGTTGTTTGCACGGAGAATTCTCCGTGATTTTCGTAGAAATGTTTACATTTCTGCCAGCGGAGTGTCGCCTGGGTCTATCCACTGTAGGGCTGCACAGTCCTGCCGCTGTCTGAGCCATGAAGCGGGCGGCAGGAGCACGCATTTCGGCTTTGAGACGGTGCTGGAGGAGGAGAAGGCGAAGAAAGGTGAGAGGAGACCACCGCGCTTACACAAGGAAAGGACACCGCGCTCAGTCGTATACAGGCTATGACTCTGTCAGAATATACCTCCTTTATTCTCCCAATCGCTGATCTCTGAGAGTTACGTATTGAGGTGAACTATAAGGGCCAAGGAGTAGGAAGGAGCAGTGAGGAGGAGAAGGAGCTATGGCTGCTTTAGGTAGATCCGGATCCTCCAAACCAGCGGCGAGAGCTACAGTCAAAACTACAACTCCCAGAAAACGGACTACAACAAGCGCACCACCTCCACAACTGCGCGAGTCTTAATGAGAATTATTTAAACCTTTCAGTCTTTTCATTACAACGGAGCCGACATAAATAAAGTGACTGTACATGAGGGAAATGACTGCTGTTAAATTAAGAGCTGCTCTAAACCTGCAAATATACGACCTGCACTCATATAATCTCTGAAAAGTTGAACCACCTCCAACGTGATATATGCACAGAACAGATTCAACAGCATCACAACCCCCTGTCACAAAAAGAACACGCATATTTCTCTGAGTCCTGTCCTTTAGTTCGACAGAAACCGCATCAGGGCATGAGGAGCAAGATTACTTTGCATTTACTCCAAAAAACTGAGTAATTCTGACATATTTCACAAGATGTTTTTGATGAGCAGATTCCTTTTGTGCATGTAAACACACACCAATAATTAGATCTAATTATTGGGTTATTTGTTTTTTTCTGACCATATAAATGTACTCACTGACAGTTTACCAGGTGTTTGAGAATGTGGCTCAGAAATACGACGTGATGAACGATGCCATGAGCCTGGGCATTCATAGACTGTGGAAGGACCTCCTGTTACACGCCATGAACCCACAGCCCGGGGCACGTCTGCTCGATGTAGCAGGAGGCACTGGTACTGTACTATTTAAATGAACAAATCACATCCTCTGTGCTGTTGATTTTGCTCTAAATGTTTTGCTCTTTCTTGAAGGTGACATTGCTTTCCGTTTTCTGGAATATATCAAGTCCCAGGAAGACAAGATGAGGAGGAGAGAGGTGAAGGCCATGCAGACACCATCCTGGCAGGAGATTTCTGCCAAGTATTCTGAGGAGCAAGGAGCAGAGCCTCAGGAGTCCGGAGCTGTGGTGTGTGACATCAACAAGGAGATGCTCAAAGTGGGCAAAGAGAAAGCTGACAGCATGGGCATCACATCTGGTAAGGATGTCTATATGCCAAATATGACTATTAATAATACTGTTGAAGACCACTTTATGCCACTAACACAATAAAACATAATCTCCATATAGTTAAAAAAACAAAACAAAACAAAAAACAACTCACTATTCCAAAGAGATGTTAATTATTTGACCAGCTACAGCACAAATATGTAAAATAAAAACAACTCAGTAGTGGGTTTCTCCCATAAATATAAAACATGCACAAGAGGCAAACCTCCAGCCAAAGTATTCCTGAGTAAGCCTGGGTCAAGATGTGTACTCCTAAAAGGGTTGATACTTGTTGAAGAATGGGTAAATGCAGAACATGAAAGCGAAAATTAAGAGATCACTCACTGGTTGTACATGTTTCCTGTGTTCAGGCCTGTCTTGGGTGGCGGGAGATGCAGAGGAGCTGCCATTTGGTGATGATGAGTTTGACATTTACACTATAGCCTTTGGAATTCGTAATGTAACTCACATAGAGCAGGTAAGTCAGCAGATATGTGTTTAATATTTTGGTAGAGCATTATTTGCCAATAAATTCAGTTGCTTTTTCAGGCTCTACTAGAGGCTCAGCGGGTCCTCAAACCAGGAGGAAGGTTTATGTGTTTGGAATTCAGCAAAGTGTCTAATCCTATTTTGTCAAAGTAAGCACAAAAGTCTTAATTTTTAGTCCTACTTGTAATCACAAACAATATGAAGATCGCGTAATACATAACAGTAATTCTAGCAAAAAAGCAGCACTGCCCTCTTCTGGACTTTTTTTTTGCTTCACCCTCCTCTTACACTGCCACTACCAATTCCATTTACATGTACATTGCAACACATAAAATAACATTTATGTTTATGTTGCACATTGAAATACAAAAGACAAGCACTGTTATTATCTATTTCCTTTTAGTACATACACTACCAGTCAAATATTTGGACCTACTTTCTCATTCAATGTTTTTTTTTTTTCTTCTATTTTTTTTATTACTTTATACATTTTAGATATATACAGAAGACATCAAATATAACTTTCTTACCGTACTTTGGTTTCTTGGCATCAAATAATCACCATTTTGTATTTTTTTGACTTCGCTTTAATATTCTCTCCACAAACTAGGATTTATGACGCCTACAGTTTCCAAGTAATTCCTGTTTTGGGAGAAGTTATTGCTGGAGACTGGAAATCTTACCAGTATTTGGTAGAGAGTATTCGCCGGTTCCCAGACCAGGTAATAAATTCTGCAGCATTGACATTTAAATAGTGTCTCTATTAAATATTTTCCAACATGTAACAAATTCAAATATAGCTTCTGATGCATTATTTGGCCTATGTATTTGCTGTATAGGAGGAGTTCAAGACTATGATAGAGGATGCTGGTTTCTACTGTGTGAGCTACCACAACCTGACAGGCGGAATTGTTGCTCTTCACTCTGGGTTCAAGCTATGAGGAGCAAAGCAGATTCATCTCTCCATTCACTACACAGTCTTGTCCCGGAATGTTGGATCAAAGATGGAGGTCCTGCGTTTACAATGGACTAAACCATAATGAACAGTTCAAACTTCTGATTTAACCAGGATCAGGACTGGCTTAGATTTTCTGCTGTCAGGTTGAAGACAATGGACTCGATGGTCTATAGTCTCAAAACAACAATATTTTATATATGTAGAATATGAAAAAAAATGTCTACTTCATCATCTAATAATTAAATAATTAAAGTATATAATGGAAACATTGTATATTTTCATTTGACTTGAAAGTAAAAAGACAGCCACAACATATTTGAATAAAACTGTATATTTTACAGATCTTTGTACACTTGATTACAAAACTGTATGGTACTAAAATTTTAAAATCAGTTTTTGGTCAGAAAGATTTAATCGTCTTGTGTGCAATTACCATGTATATACAAAGTCTTATGTTAGTGATTTTTCTCAATAAAAAGCATCTCAAACGTCCATACACTCTGAACATAAGACATGGCTTAAAGATAAATATATTAGTAAATAAATATTCAGAGAACATATTTCCATTTATGAAATGTGTTGCTATACACGTACAGAAATATACACAGATTGATTTCTAGCCTTTTTAAACATTTGTAATGGTAATGACAGAAAATAATTATATTCTTAGAAAATTAAAAATATTAATTTTGTACACTTTAATCTTTTTAAGTGCTAGAAACAATAACAAAAATTAAATAGTGACTCAAGTACCCCAAAATGTTCTATTTGCAGTAGGTATATATCTCTATCCAAAAGGCAAGATTAGATTCTCATTCTCACATGATTACAGCACTGGGTTAACTTAAATATTGTTATTTGAGAAGGTTCTCCTCTGTGTAGAGAATGTGTATTTCATAGAAACAGTATAAAACAGTCTGTAGGACAAACAAAGACATGAATGACACAGCATTGACTTAGTGAAACGGATACATTGTAGTGTGTATGAACTGCATCAATACAAAGTCACAGTAAATTAGGAACCATTATGAATCGTGAGTCTTCTCCTTTGGCCTTGACACAAACTACATTTTAAATACCATAGATAGAACACATCTCATGGAGGACATCTGTAAGTGGCCGCAGCATTAAAGGGTGCTACACCATCTGCACACACGGTCCTTGCTCTGAAGAAGGAGCAGTGTCATTAACAGTCACTGCTCTGCAGAGGGGACAGTGTGTGTACATGGGGCTACAAATGGAGCACCATCTTAAGGCTTAAGGTTATTCTGGCACATCTCTTACAGGCCACAGCTGGACATGCATGTAATGCCTTTAGCTATATGATACTTAACAGAACAGTGTCAGCCTTGCATTCACATTACTATGCTTTCTCCTAGACAATGTAGCTTCTCATTACAAACTGTGTGGGTCACAAAATGTAGACCCTTTTCCCTGCGCTTTTAAAAAGTAAATAAAAAATGTCTGATTTGGTATAGCTATGTCCATATAAACTATGTGAAATGTGGTTTATGCTTCATGGCAATGTAAAATATATTTGTTTATGCAGATGTTTTCATGACAAATTACTTTTTATTTTAATAAATATTGCTTTAATAGACCTTCTAGAAAATAAGAATTCATGACTATTTAACATCTGTTCATGACTGCAGTTCAAATTTAGTTTGGTGCTGTGAGGTGGCCACAGGAATGAACTTGACACACTATATGTAGAAATGACAGGCCATTTCAGTAGAAATTCACACATCTAAGATGATAACATTCAGAGCTCAGAGAGCAACAAGGCAACTCCAGGTTTAAATGATTGACACTGGTGAAGACACAGTAGAGTTCATATCTTCACTACACCCTCACTGACTGCAGTACTGTTACCCGACGTACTGGGCTTAGCAGAGAGAGGAGGATGGAACAGAGCATGTGTCTCGTCCTCCTGAGTGTACGCCTGTCCCCGACTCCTCTGTCCTGTTGTGTACAGACCCTCTCTGGGCTCAAGCTGTTCTCCTGTCCAAACCTCTGCCTCCATTTTGACACTAGGTGGCAGCAAACTGCTTTGAGTTTCTGACACAGAGCCCAGTTCACAGTCTGTGTCTTCTGGAATTATGGGTATTCTCTGGTTAAGTTCACAGCAGCCTTGTGCAGAGCATGTGTCCGAGTCTGCGTGTGCGTACTGCACATTGACAGAGTAGTCCTCTGAGAAGTGTCCTGTAGCCGCCCTGTGAACCTTCATTTCTTTGTAGAAGCAGCAGGGCAGGCCCTCAAAGCCCTGCTCTGCTGAGGGGCACATGTGCTCAGTGTAGTAGTTCTTGGAGCTCTGAAAGTCTGCTCCTGCTCTATGGCAGCGTCCAGAGGCCAGAGCCCCTCCGCGCTCAGACTCCGCCCCCTTACACTCCACATTAGGAGGCAGCACGTCGAAGCAGCAGCTGCAGGCCGCCACCCCATGCTCTCCTAACTCGTCCTGGACCTTGCCCCGCTCGTGCTCCGGAGCAGAGGCTGAGGTAGTGCTAGTGTTGTCCCTGGGCTCCAGACTGCAGCTGGAGGTGTGGTCCCCCCCAGGTGGGAGCTGGTGGGGAGCCGGAGAGGCTGAGGGTTCATCTGTAGGAGCGCTGGTGCAGGCCCCTGCCTCAGCAGCCCCCCTGCACGGGCTCTTGCTGCGGTACACAAAGGGGTCGTAGTCACTGCTCAGAGAGCTGCGGAAGGTGGAGCAGCTGCCGTACACGCCCTGATTACTGACCTCGGTGCAGTCCAACATGGAGTCACTGGAGGAGCAGTGGCACTGTCCCGAGCTGCTGCTGCTGCTGTCACTCCCGGGACAGTCCGCCAGATACCCGCTACACATGGAGCGGTGACCATGGTAACAGCTCAACCCGGATGTACTGCCGCTCTCTGCTATCCGGGATGATGTGGTGGGTCCCATATGGACGACTGTGGGGTAGAGCAGGCCCTGCTGAAAGGCCCGGCTATGGTGTCCCTTATGGGCCCCTCCCCCAGACATGGCCCCTGCTCCTGGTCCCGGGACTCCATCCTGCTGGGGGAAGGTCAGACCCTGGAAGTAGTAGTGTTGGTACATAGTCTCGTACTGGGAGAAGCACGCTGCACGGGAGAAGTTGCGTCCATGGAACTTGGGCCTTTTAAAAGCAGCGTGATGAGGCTGAGCTCCATATGGAGGGGGCCCACGGTGCTCCAGCCCACAGTGGTGTGCCCCCAGAGAGTGCTCCAGGTGCAGGGCGGGGTGGTAGCTCCGCAGAAAGGTAGAGCTGGACTGGGGTGGATACATGCCCTGAGGGTCTGGGTGCTGGTCCACTGTGAGCACTGTGATGGGGTTCCCGTGCGGGTCCATGCTGGTCCTGGTGGGGTAGGCGGTGACTCCTCCAGCCCGGTGAACACGACCAGGATAATGGACAGGTAACACAACCCTCTGCTGCCTCCCATGCATTGGGTTACTTGGGTCCAAGCAACCTGGGCCCAGCCCCCCTTTCTTTTGCTCTATAAAAACAGAAGGAAAATCTTTATAAATAGTTCTGTATAATGAGATAAAAATGTAAAAAAGTTTTTGTTGACTTACCTATTATGTTGTGTCTACAGTGGGGGCAGGTGTGATGCTGCAGCAGCCAGGGGTCCACACACTTCTTATGAAACCTGTGTGCACATGGAATGACCCGCAACTCCTGCAAACAGTGACAAAACATTTATGTTATAAATTGTACATGTAGCTATCCTTTATATGACTACTACTGTATTTCCCAATTCACTTTGTGACCCAAAAAAGTCAGGATGCACTAGCTGTTTGATATGAAAGAATGTGTTTTGTATTCAAATGGAGAGCTGGCATTAAAGTTGTCAGGGCACAGCAGAAGCAGACCTGTGAATACAAACTCAGTACCGTGTGACTCATCTTTTTACTCTTTTTTTACCCGGGCTTTTGTTGCCAGGTATGAGACTCAAAAATGGCTTTGATGCCATTGAGCCTTTTATATCACCACTTCCTCCGTGAGTTGTGGCGCCGCGCTTTGTTCTGTTTTCTTCTCCTTACCCAAAAGACACATCCCTGACGAAACAAAACAATACCCACTCTTGCCCCAAATATGTCCCCTGGGCTTGTGTCCCTGCAGCATCCCTGAATCAGGACGTGTACAGCATTATACTGAATCCCCAAAGACCACAGCAGATAGAATGATGGAGTTGGGATTAAAGGAGGCCAGTGGGAAAACAGGAAGCTCAATCACACACTGAGCTCTTTGGGACCGTTATCTCTCCAGGTGCTCTCAAAGCCTTGACTAAATATCTACAAGGTGGAGGAAACCACGTCAGGCCAGAGAAGCAGGGCTCTCTCACTCACATCAGGGGACTTCCATGCTATTGTCCACATGATGCATTATGTTCTATGTTACAGAATAAGCATGAAAAATACTAAATTTCAGCTGACAGGGTTGAGAAAATAACCTGCATTTACATAAAATATAACCTCCTCTGCTGGGACAATATGATGTTAACTTGAAAACTGCTTCATGACATGACAAGGTGCATTTTGAGCATTTTGAGCATTTTGAGTCCATTTTGCATAGTATAGAACCTTTAAGATATTGTTTTAAGATTATGGTTAAGATTAGGTTTTGAAATTGTAGTTAAGGTTACGGTCTTTTATCAAAACTATCTAAGAGCCATGAGAACAAAGAATCATGGCAACATAGGTATGCTCCAGATTACGCAGAAGGTCAGTACATGTTCAAATCTAGTGCAGTATGACATGTTGGAATCTTAATGACTCTGCTGTGATTGGTTCCTTTGGTAGAGCCAACACGTGGGTCTTCTCACCTCTCCGTCGATGTATTTCTCCAGGCAGATGGCACAGTCCGAAGTGGAGCTGCTGCTCAGAGAGTCCGAGGTCCCACAGCTGTTCTCCCGCACCACCTTCCCTTTGGCCTTGAACTTCCGCGTCTCCATCTTCTCTAGAGCTTGGATGGCCATTCTGTTCATGGAGCTCTAAGGAGACAGGCACAATCAATGTCAAGAGGATTTTAATCTATAGGTATCTATATTTAGGCACACTATGTAACACTTCTGATGGAAGGTCTGCCACCTGTTTATCACAGAAATGTTAATGCTTTGTACAGAATATTCCTCAGTATGACATTAGGTTTATCTACCTTCATAGTGGATGAACAAACACAATTATATTTGATTATTAAACACAATAAAATTCACAAGCAGTCAACTGGAGTCATTGAAGTTAGTTATTTAACCCTCAACAGCTCAAATCTTGTTGTGCTACAAAAACATTAAAGGGCCTGTACTGCACTGTTTCCTCATCAAAAACATACTTGGGGTTGTATTTTGTTTCATTTACACGTGTTTAACACACAAATCCTGCATATTTAGCCTGAGTTCTTCTTTAAAAGAGAAAACAGGAAGAGCTATGATGTTGTATGTATGTATCTATGTATGTTTTCAAACTCAATACACTTTCACTGGAATCATCTGAATCATTTCAGCCCTGGAATTGTCAATTTCGACTGAACCAATGCTTGAAAACTACAACTACATGACATCACAATGTGAAACAGAGCATTTTAAGATTTGAAAACACAGAGAGACTAATAATAAAGGGATACTCAAACATGTGTGAATGAAACCACAAAACACAACTCCAGGGATGTTTTTTGATGATTTAACAACATTCTAACACAGCTTAAAACTCACAGGAGTTAATTTTGCTCAATATAGGACCTTTAACCACAAGTGCAAAGAAACACACAACATACAAGTATTGAGTCCTCCCCCCAAATATTTCAGCTTTCATATACTGATACTGACTGACTGATGATAACAATTTGATTTCATGTAATTGTTTGTAGCAGTAATTCTAATGATTAAAATGAGAGTGCATCTTAATATAGACACTTGTTCCAACAGTGAAATCATAACAACATTCAGAAATTAGAGTTTTCTACTCAACAGGGAAAAAATAACACTTTAATTTATGCAGTGCTGCCTGCCCCGGATAATTATTTTGTAAGTGTCATATGTAGATGCTAATATGTGTTATTGGCCCTGCTTTATACCATCTGTGACAGGGCTTCTCTGTTTGAGAGGCTATGAACCAAGACTAACCCTTTCAATATTTTTAATCAGTTCCATCATATACGGTCATTTTAATGTCAATATTGGTTAAGTATTTATTTGTAAGGATAGCCATTTATTTACGAAGTTTATTAATCATTTATTATGAACGCCACATGCTGAAAAAAAACCGAGCAGAGTTAATTCACAATCAAATCAGTTAAAAGTGCTATATTTGTGAGTTGTGTGAGTTTTAAGCCATGTGCAAATGTTGTTACCTCATCAGAAACATACCTGGAGTTGTGTTTTGTTTCATTCACATGCTTGAGTAACCCTTTAGTATTAATGTGTCTGCATCTTCAAATCTTAAAATGCTCTGTTCTACCTTGTAATGACCTTTTACCTTCAGTTCAGCGTAGTTCAGGCAATTCCAGGGTGGAAATCATCCAAATTATTCTAATGAAGGTGTATGGAGTTTAAAAACACAGTGGAGCACTTCCTGTATTGCTACATGACATCACAAGGTGGAACAGGGTGTTTTCTGTTTGAGAGAAGAACTCAGGCTTTTATTTTTTGCAGTTTGTGTTTCTTTTTAACTATATTGTAAATTATAATCCTGCTTTAGGTCATTTTGCTTTAGGGTTATTGTGTCAGTGTCATAAATTAATTTCAATATTATCGTTTAAAGTCTATTTTATCTTCAGTAATATATCATACTTCAAAATGCATTATCATAACAGGCTTAGTTCAGAGATGGAGAATTAATACGTTTTAATCTACACTTTAATCTGCACTGTGTTTAATCTACACAGTTTTAATCAAATGAGAATAAAAACAAATATGCACACCAGAAGTCCTTCATTAATATTTCAGATTCAGGATGACGCAGTTTATGTGAAGAGCTCCTGGTGTGATCTGCTCTTAATTATCCACAGAAGGAAGTGACTGCCTGCCGCTGTGACACCCATCTCCCCCTTACCCTCCCACAGCCCCCGCGGGACACCTCCTCTCCCAGGTCTAAGCGGAGTCACGATTTCTGAATGCTTAATGCCCATTAGCCCTAATTAAATGGTAATTCACATTCAAGTGGTGTGCTTAGGCCTCCACCTGAGACTCATTTGTCAATACAGGCCAATCTCTCCCAGGATAACAAGTTAACTAACTGCAAAATGGCCATGTTAGAGTCAAAAATGCTAGAATTAAAAGGTGCATCAAGTAACTTTTCTGGTGATGGACCCTAAACCAAAACAGAGCAGTGGGAGGAGACAGTGGGTAAGTGAAAATAGAAATTTCTGTGCACTCTAGCCTTAAATACACGATTATTCAAACATGCAGGAATCAATCAAAATACAACTCTGAGAAAGCTAATGATGAGGAAAGTTGTCTCTTCTAAGTAAAGCAGAGTAAGTTTTGTTGTCGTACCTGGCTCCTCCTCTGCTTCAGTTTGATCTTGATGAGCAGAACGAGGCAGACGAGCGACACGACCACAAAGAAGGCGAGGAAGATGCCCATATCGAAGTACTCAGTAGGCTGCTGTGGGAGATAGAAATACATGTGTCAAATACATGGTGGTACTCTATTATCAAACGTGTGTACATTGAAGTTAAACTGTGAATGTGTTCCCTATTTCCCTGTTTTCTAAGTCACTGGTTCTCAAAGTAGAGTCTGCTGGGGGTCACTGGGCTGTGTGTTACGTGTCTCCCCAAAATTTTGATAACAAGGAAGATTATGTGAATATTAGACTTTATTATAATACATAATCCCAAAAATACATTTTGATTGAAACAACACCAATTAAGTAAATACTATGAGACATTAATCTTTCATCCAAATTTGATAAGTGGCATCTGGTCTAAGAAAGTTACATTCCTCAAATGAATTGTATTATAAATCAATACCCTGACCTAAAGCACGTAACCACATTTTGGTAGTACACACTGTGCTAGTCATTTGGTGTTGATAGAACGATCCGTTTACAAATGAAAACCTGAAGCTAGCACGCCATGCACTAATGTGTTTTGGTGGCTCATAAACTGGGGAGAGCTGCTATACTTCAGTCTTAACTTGACCTGTTTTTAGTGTTGGAAAGTAACTGGATACTAATTTAGAGTAACTGTAGTCTGGTAAAGTTACTCTTTCATTTGATGGTACTGAGAACACAGTTACTTTTCTAAAATCAAAGAAAAAAAAAAAAAATGACAGGATTTGGTCACAGAATGCTCATAGTCAGTGAGAAAAACAGACAACAGTGCTCTTCTGGTGCGTGCATGTGTGATTTTTCCTTCTCCAGTCAGTGAAATTCTTTAAAACAGAGAAACAGATATAAATCTGTTATTGATCCTAATAATAATGTTACGTATTTACACTATAATTTTAATGCGACTTGATGTAAAAGTATTCTGTGTATTCAGAATCCAGTACTCTGACTGGACCATGTATCAGAACAAGTTACAAAATACACTGTAATGCAGGTATTCAGTATTCTGTAACTAAATATATTTTCAAAGGATTCTTCCCATCACAGCTTGTTCTTGACACTGATTTAGACATTTATTACATAGACACAGAAAGGACCAATTGTGGCAGTTTTCGGTCCGTAACATTTCTTATCAGCTTTCTCTTGGGCCCTAATTATGTCTGAGTTATTTGACCTCGTGGAGTGGAGCTTCCTTATCAAATATTCCAAGCAAACAAACAGGTCTTTGAATGACCGATATCCATCTGTAGCAGCGCCGTGCTAATGTCTTAAGCCCGAGGGCAGTGGCTATGGCCCACTACAAAGAAAGCTCTCACATTTCACAGCTGGAATTTGGGTTTGTCTTCACATCTAAGCGGGGTTTGAAAAAATTATCCCCAAGCTGTTACTCACTGTTAAAGCTCCCATATTACAATATTTTCTAATCTATGTTATAATGTTGTTTCCTCATCAAAAACATACTTGGAGTTTTGTTTTGTTTCATTTACACATGTTTAACACACAAATCCTGCATAACAAAGGTAAAAGGTACTTGAAAACTCCAACTACATTACATCACAGGGTGGAACAGAGCATTTTGAGATTTCGAGATGGAGACAGGTCAATAATAAAAGGTTATTCAAACGTGGAAGTGAAGCAAAACACAACTCCAGGTATGTTTTTGATGAGATAACAACATTGTAACATGTCTCAAAGCTCACAATTTTGAGTGTTTTTTTTAATATTTTCTGTTTGATAGACATACTCAGCCTAAATAATCACTCCAGATATGTTTTTGATGAGGAAACAGTTTAACATAGGTCAGAAAATAGCATAATATGAGCTCTTTAATTCACGACTGATAAAGTTTTAATTCGTTATTATCAGTAGAAAATTCATAGAAAACACAAACTACAAAATATAATACCGCTTAGTCCCTGGTCTTACCCTGGGCGGGCGGTGCTGGATCCGAGCACGGGCCACTTTCTGTTTGTTGACAATGTTCATGAGCTTCACGGCGTCGTTTCCCTTCACATAGACCACCGGCCGCTTCAGAGGGTCCTCCGCCACCTGGTTCAGCTGCACACAACACAACAGGGACAGTTAGTGGATCTATTATCACAATATAAATACATATACTGCATTTTCATGAACATTGAGAATAAAACTTGGGCCAGTGTAACTTGTAGGTACAATAACACACACATTTTAGTTTTATTATGTTTAAATGCACTGATAGAAAGAGTATGTGAAAAACTACTCATGTAAAAGTAAAACATGGTAAAAAAAAAAAGTGCTCAATTACTGCTGCCAACTTTGAAGTACAATTTTTAGTGGCATTTCTGATCAGGGTTTAATATAAAACTTTATTAATGAGATAAAGCTATCTGCATTTAAAGATGACCCATAAACGTTATTTTTTTATTCATGTTATAATGACTGAAGAAGTCAAAATTACATTATAAAGCACACTGTGCAAAACAATACTCTGAAGTCACCTGAACTGTACTTTTCTTTACCAAAGTTTTTTAAAAACATATTCTCAAAATAGACTAATATTTTAGAGGTTTGGACAAAAAAACAAAAAAAAAAACAATAATCACAGTTAATAAATAATATACAACTTTCACAGGCTTGAACATTTGTATGCAGAACTACAAGCCCCAGCAGCTTTGTAGTTCTTTCCCAACAGGCTTCCCTTCTGTGTTCAGTCACAGCTAAAGAAACGTGGCTAAAGTGTAACATGTTATAAGTTAGCAAAGTTAGCTTGTTCTTCACGGCTGGGCTGAGAAACACCAGGTGAAGTAGTGAAGGGAACACAGAGACAGCCCAGGGGCGCATTCTCCTCTTTGACCAAACTAAAGACGCCGCGAACTTTAACCTCCTCCTCAGGGCTGAAGCCATGGAAACTGTGGTTAAGGACAGCTCTGCGACTCTCCTCCTCTCGTCTCTGCTCCCTCTCAGAATCTGTAATTTGAAAAGCCCAAGGGAAATACCGTGGATATTCGCTTTTCTATTTCTCGTGCTGTCGTCATGCTCCCCAGTGGAATAAGCGATGTTCTGGTTTCAAAAGTATAGACAGTGGGCTGTTTGATCTGCCGCCAAGCGTGGAGATCTGGGGCTTTTGACAAAGAAGACAGCAATGCAAATTATAGCTGTCACACTTGTGCTACACAAGTCAAGAAAAGAGAGTGTACTTTCTGTACGCAAAAAGAAAGAACATGAAATCAAGTAAAAGGATTGGATTTGCACTCAAAAAGTCCTTCAACAACAAATTTCACTACTGCCTTTCCCTCCACTTCAACTACATGAACTACTGCCACTACTAGTGACACTGTGAGGCCTATACTTTATGACACATTCAACTACTACTGCTACTACTGCTACTGCTATTGCTATTAAACTACGATAACAATGTGGCTACTACTAGGCTTGTACTACTATAAGGCTACTTCTACTACAACATACATATTACCAATTACTTCTACTAATACTTTGAAAACAAACAAATAACCAGAACCTTCACATATTCAAAGTCAATAATCAATAGTTTCTGTCGATACTCCAAGAAAGTTTTCCTTAGACAAATAGCTCCAGTTCTTGAATCTTAATAATTTGCTGAGTGATATGAGAACATGTGATTAGGTCTAGTTCTGGTCTAGTCCTAGTTTACTCTGGGTCTAGTCCAGGCTAGTCCGGGTCTAGTCCTGATTTAGCCCTGGTTTAGACCTGGTCACATATTCATACCAACAACTTTTTCAGTTTTGAAGCCAAACATCAGTAGTTAGACAAACTTTCTCTCGATACTCCAAGAAAGTTTTCCTTAGATAAAAAGCTCCAGTTCTTGTAGTTCTTGCGAATATGTGATTAGATCTAGTCCTGGTCTAGTCCTAGTTTACTCCGGGTCTAATCCTGATCTAGACCTGGTCACATATTCATACCAACAACTTATACAGTTTTGAAGTCAAAGATCAGTAGTTACACAAACTTTCTCATACTCCAAAAAAGTTTCCCTTGGACAAAAAGCTCCAGCTCTTGTATCTTAATAATTTGCTGACTGCCTTGGCTCCTCCCCCTGCCCCTCGGCCTTGTGGGTGCTGTCTTCTTGAGCCGCCCTGACTGGAAAAGCCTTTCAGGGGAATTTAACACAGCTTCCTTTCATGTGGTCCGCTCGCAATCCCTTTTATCTCTGTGCTCCTCCGCTCTTTACGAGGAGCGCGAAGAGACCGAGGAAGAAACCAAGCAACTACAAGTCCAGGCCTGGCGCAGCGAACTGCAATACCGCGGGAGAATTCTTGCTACAAAGAGACACAAACCTACGCATTATGTACACTGTAAAAATAACTACAGGAGTTAAAATGACTTGGGGTTGGTATATTTATTTTGATGTGAGTAGTTTTGATTACTATAGTTTAGATTTATCTAGTGAGTATTTCTACATTCTGGACTTTTCTCAGGCTATTTCTAACGATAGTAAAATGGAAAACTTTGATATTAAGAATAGACTTGATGCTCGACACTGATTCCGATGCAACTATAACAGCTAAAAACTCTTTCTTTAGACAATAGGATGTGATTCTGAGCATTAAATCATAGTACTTTCTTTTATATTACCATGTGGTCTTATATCTACGTAATACTTTAGTCATCCAAGTAGATTCCATAGTGGTCCATGGGAGTATACTAGTCTAGGTGGTCTACTATACTATTCAGGAAAGGTTAATTTCTGTCTTGTCAATGTGACTTTTTTAGTATTGATACCTGCCTTAGTTGCAATACTAGTTTCAATAGTTGATTAGTATTTGATTTTTGATACTTTTGACAACCCTTTTCTGTATTGTACTTTGTTGTTTATGCACCTTTGTACTTCGTCCCCAAGAGAAATGTCCCCTTGTGGGTTAGGTAAGGTAAGGTAAAGTAAGGTAAACTTACCTTACCTTACCTTACCACATTGAAACAACATTAAAACAACATTGAAACAACAATCTGTTCTTTGAGAATAATTTTCATACTTCTTTAATTGGCTTATTAAAGGTGCACTATGCAACATTTATAATTGAGGACACGGTGCCTGTTTGTCTCCATGGAGATGGTAATGCTTTGCCTGGAGTGTTACAGGTCAGATCAGTGCATGATTTTAAGTGACTTTTTGTAATAATAACAAAGTTTAATTAATCCACGATAGGCACGAAAATGACATATTGCTCCTTTAATTGCCACTTTGTCACTCCACTGAAAGATATTTTTTCCTTGTTTTTTCTAAATCTCAATCAACGAACTAAATAAAACAAAGCACGATTGTGACTTCAAGCTTATTTAAGTAACGCACAGTCCTTTTTGCAGTGTACATAATAAAAAGTATGTAGCGACGAGAAGAATTGTGAGTGTTTTTCTTTAACAACTTTGTTCTCAAACTTTCAGACACATCTAAAGTCTTAAGGGATGAGGTAATGTGTGTTCGCGCCTGCTACCTGCGCAATTATGAGCTCAACAAGGTACACTGCAGTGAAAGCCTTGTCTATTTACAGCTCTCAGTCTCATTCATTCCCCCTTTGCACAAGCAACACCTCAAAGGAACCGAGGGCTGCAGGCTCAGTTCACACTTGCACACACTCAACATCAAAACTGGGACTAAACCAGGATAGAACAAGACTAAACCTGGACTAAACCAGGACTAGAACAGGACTAGACCCAGACTAAAGCAGGACTAGGACTAGAACAGGACTAGACCAATCACTAAAACAGGACTAGGTCAAAGACTAAATACAGAACTAGATCGGGATTAGACCAGGACTAGACCGGGACTAAACCAGGGCTAGACCAGGACTAGAACAGGATTAGACAGGGAGTAGGCCGAGACTAAACCAGGACTATAAAAGGACTAAAAGAGAACTAGATTGGGACTACACCGAGACTAAACCAGGACTAGAAAAGGACTAGAAGATGTCTAGAAGAGAACTAGATCGGGACTAGACTGGGACTTAACAAGAACTGGGGAAGAACTAGACCCAGACTAAACCAGGACTAGAACAGGACTACACCAGGACTAGACCAGGATTAAACAGGACTGAATCAGGACCAAACCAGGACCAAACCAGGGCTAGAACGTGACTAGACCAGGACTAGACCAGGATTAGACCAGGAATAGAACAGGACAAGACCAAGGTTAAACTAGGGCTATACCAGGACTAAATCAGGACCAAACCAGTACTAGAAGGTGACTAGACTAGGATTAGACCAGGATTAGACCAGGATTAGACCAGGACCAAACAAAGTCTAGATCAGGACTAACTGGATTCAAACTAGGACAAAATCTTTGTGAGTGTACCCTTAAAAAGTACTAAAAATGTATGTATAAAAACTGTTGCTGACAAAACAAAGTATATGTTCATGCAAGTGCCTTTATGTGCCTTGCTAATAACTTATCTCCATGATGATAGATATGTTTAATGCCATACTGAGTAACATTCCACACAAAGCAATAACATCCCCGTTGAGACAAGCAGGGGTACATGCAGATATTGACTGTAGTGATTAGGGCAGGGTGTGTGGAAAAAGTCCTCTGCACCACATCCTGCCTCTCTCCTCTGTAGTGTGAGTAAGTGTCTGAGGAGACAAACCTGGTCAATGGCATCCGGATTCTCAGACACGTCAAAGATGACAGCTGTCGCGCCCCTCTGCACTGCTCGCTTCGCCTGGGAAAACAAACACAAAACATAATGATTTTAAGTAGCTTGTCTCTCTAAAACTAAACATCACGAGGTAAAGCAGTACAGGAACCACCATTTTCTTTACACCTTTAATCAATTATCTATTCAAAAGCATCTTAATATAGTCTTTTTATCCAAAGCTTATCAAAAAATGTTCATTTCTTCTTCTTTTGTACATTAACTTCTTGGGTTCGTTTTAACTTTCTGGTTTCTTTTTAGTCGAAACATGTCAACAACGTAAATTCATCTCCTACTGTATTGTTTTTTAAAAAGAACCCACAAAGTTAGTTAATATTACAAAGCTTGGAAACATAGGAAAAAACCAAAATTCTTCACACATAACTCAGTTCCATGTTTCTGCGAAGGCCACTAGAGGGAGTATGCTTTCCAAACCTCACTGTATTCATCCTCTGTATTGAAGCACACACATACGCACACACACACTGATAGCATGTTGTGGTTCACATGTGGCCCATAACTCTGTCATGAAGTCATCCCAGTAAATATGAATCTGATTAGACTTATCACACATACTAGGAATTCAAGCAAACCAATGTAACAGGACTATTACACAATCCAGTTTTGAATTAAAGGCTGTGGGATTAATCAAGTTTGCAAATCAAAACTATCATGTTGTGGTGTTTTAAATGTTATCAATTATGGGGGTATGATGCTGACTGTAGCATAGACTTTAATTAGACTTAGATCTCTGCTTTATTTTAACGCAATCTGACCAAAAAGAACTGATTTAGTTGGAACTACAACTGGAGAGCTGATTTGTGGCGTAAAAAAGTCCCTCTCAAGTAACATTACAGTCACAAGCTAATAAGCATCATCCAATAGTTTTTCAGTCACTTGCACATTTTATTTTTATAGTTTTTTGAAAATTAAACTCCTAAACAAGACGATGACCGCTGTGTTGTTTTAATTCATTTGGTGTATTTTTTCTTTTTTGACTCTGTTTTGCTAAAGTGGGCACTGTGTCACCATGGTAACTCCTAAATATTACACTATTTGACATACATGTACAACATCCCCAGCGTCATGTCATGCAAAGTATCAATAAAGCAATACTGTAGCAGCATGTAGTATGTTGTTTGAAGAATTAAAAAGAGTTAAAAATCTGGAGGTGAGACTGATATATATATATTTTATTCTTAAAGGTGCACAACTTTTCCTGTGGAGGAGCTGTCACCTGCATGTACATAATATGACATTTAACATATCTCCATGGAAACAAGCAGGCAAAGCCACTATGGAAAGTTACATGTCTGTGGATAGACAAGCCCGTTCAAGAATGTGTGTCAAGGTGTTTTTTTTTTTCACACCAGAGAATGATTGCAGTTTAGATATATTTAATGCCTTATTGTAGAGATGAGAAAAATCTATTTGAAAACATAATCAAAAATTGTTAATGGTCAACAACACATTAACAAGGGATAGAATAGTCGTGATTTCTTTTGCCATATCGCCCAGGCCTATTTGAAAAGTTGAATAAAGTTGTCAAGGACTGCTACTGTACCCACACTGCTATACACAAGGGGCTCTTTTATGTCGAACTTCTGAAGGCTCCAGCGATATCAGGCCAGAGATAAAGGAAATGCTTGGATCTGCACATGCTGAAGTATCTCCTTGCTGAATCCAAATTGGTTTTCCCTCTCATGAAAAAAACGAAAAGAAAAACTGTACTTTATCATGGCTCTGCTCAGACAGTCTCACCGCACGAGCTTGGACTGGATCTGAAAGAGTGTATCCTGGAATTATGCAGTGCCCTTGGTCTGCGGCCAGCGCTGCTCATAACTAAAGGGAAGACAGAGATCAAAGTGACAATGTACAGCAGCGGTGTGACTGGGCTGGACACTGTCACTGATCTTCCTGCACACACACATAAATACACACACGCTCACAAACACACACACACACACTCACACACATTTAACTACAGACACTAACACGCACGATGGGGCTGGTCATTCACATAGCAGCACGTTGTCTTATCCACAGCCAACACATAACAGATAGTATAACAATACTATCTAAGTATACCATCTACTAAGACTAGTATCGAAACCAGATACTCATTTGGACAAGTTCTGATACTGAAAAATTACATAAATAAATCAGATAAACTTTGACCTTTGCTGAAAAGAACTAGAACTGAAGAACAGACGAGACTACATGGTAACACTAAAGACATTACAATTATCAAGAACTTTCCCTTAACTATAATATTTTGTTGACAAATGAAGTCTACCTTACAGGAAACTAATATCCCAAATGCTTTTCCTCTTGTTTCCAGCTGAGGAGACAATATAAAATATGTTTTTTTTTTACTTTGATCACAAATCACAAATCACAAACATAATATAGGCGAACATTTTAGTTTAAGCTACAGTTTAAGAGTATGTTAGAAGTGAGCAATTACATTTCAATCATTTTTTAACCAAATAAAAGTACAAATATGCAGACTGACAGCTTCTACATAGTTTTGAAAAGTCAACAATTAATATAATAGTCTGCTTCATTGTTGCACACCAATATAGTTCTTCAATACTTCAAGATTTCCATAGTTAAAAAAGGACTAGTCTTGTAAGGAATCTCTTGCAGTCTTCTTATCACACTGAAAATAGTGTTACAACTCACGATTCACGATTCACAATATGACGATACACGTGATAATCGATATTACTCATGATACTTTGTGATATTTTGTGGTTTTGTAAGAACCAGATACATTTTAGCAACAATAATTCCTTTTTAAACCACTACTTGTGCAAAATGAATATGATATACATCTTTTTTAATCATCAAAAACTCCATAAACAAGTGTCCTTCCACTAAATAAGCAACAAAATTATAGTGCGGTCACAAAAAAAAAACCCTGAATAAATACACTTAGTGATATATTGATACAGCAGCCCATGGTGACGATACTGTATCACCAAATTTAGTATCACAGTTTTCCATATTTTTGCACACCCTTAATATTTTTAGTATGTTGTAAATTTTAGAGTATTGCTTGGATACAGAATGAGCAATGGCCTAATAATAACAAAACAAACACATTCATATTCCAGCTGACTATTTACTCCTGCCATGTATTATCCAATTAAGTCGTAAAAAAGCGGAATCTTGTGTCTGTACCTGTATCCCATTTCAGTCTTTGTTGTTATACTATTAGAGGCTCTTTGCAGGATTGTTTTCCAATGCATTCATGTTCCCTTTGAGTGTCAAAGGAGTATTTATTTTTCCTCAAAAGCACAAATGAGCTGTCATCCAGGAGAGGAGTACTAGAGTTGAGTGTGTATGAGCCAGTTCAGGTATGCGTTTGTAACCTAGAGAGACGAGGCTTTGGCTGTGTCACTGTCTGGGCTTGTTACTAAAGGAGGAGGCAAACCAAACCAATAAAAATTATGACTTCTATGAAAGCTTTAATTGTAAATGAGAAACAAAACATGTAAACATGACAACCAGGACCGGTTCTATATGTGTCTCAATTAGATACTCTACAATTATCAAGGTATAGGTAATTCTTTTATGGGGAATTTAGTCAGTTAATTCGGCGTATGAGATGAATTAAGCACTCAAAATAGACAGTTTGTTTACTTTACTATTACTCATGCAAGTGCTATATTTATTATACTATCAAGTGATGAAAATATGATCCATATTACCATAACAATTAATTCTTATCGTATAATGGCTTTTTAATGGCTAAAAGTCCTCAAAATGGCATTCACATGGAAAGACCTTGTGACAGGAAGTAAGAGTAAGAGATAGAATATAAGTCAGCTTGTCAAAAAGAAGTGAGACAATTAAAATACAGCTATAAAATATATCTGGAATTGGGCAAACTTTATTATTGGTGCGTGTGATTTAAGTTTGTGTAAAATGCTTGTTGAAATTATTATTATATTTTCATCTTAAAGAAAGAAAACTGCTGTAATACACTATCAGACAGTGACAGTGATGACATTTTAAGATGAAAATGGGAAAAAAATGACATTCACTGGATAATGAACATGTCATAATTAGAACATGTTGTAAAAGTGTGAGTATTTTGGATAGTGAGAATTAGCCAGGCTGGCGTTCAGTTTAATTTCTCTCCAGCGACTAGGTCAGGAATTGGAATACAATAGACGGTTTGCAAGAACACCGGAAGTGCAAGTCCGGGCACCAGCCAGTCAGCGGAGAGCCATACCTTCTGTGCTGGCAACGATTCCCGAGATCAAGGATTTAAGTCTGGAACAAAGAGAACGTTTGGTGAATTCTATCAAGTGGAAAGATGTTATTGCCCTTCTTCCTATGGGATTTGGGAAAAGCTTAATATACCACCTCATTAGCGGCACATTACATTTGTCACGACCAAACAGCAGTGATTATTATTGGTTAAATAATAAAAGTACCTGCCTACCATCGAGCAAACGAACCGGCTGATGAATCAGGCTAAGTGAGAATGGGAACACTCCAGTAATCTTTAGAAATACGTACTTTTGAGCTGGTAACTGAATACGTTACGATCACAGGTAATTAAAATTAAAACAAACTTTCTCTTGACATGAGCGACCACTTTGCACTTTTACAGGTTCAGAGTGAGGTGGGCTTTCCCCTCTCACCCACTTCCCCCCTACAGCTCCATTCAGCACCAGTTTGCCGCTTTGAAGTTAGCTCTCCAGGTTAATAATTAATAACTGTTGGTAAGACGCTCACACAAGAAAGCCCTCTCCCTCTCTTGTCTCCTCTCTGGGGCAGGCCCGTGTTCAGTGTGTGGACTTGCCTGACGACAACAAAAATGCACCCATGGGCGAACTGCAGCGAGCGAAAAGAGGTGACACATCTCCCCTCCAGCCCCACGCACAGAACAGAGGGAGATTTCACTGTGGTAATGTGGTTTTATGGTCCGGGAGTGGCCAAGGGAATCAAACTGTAAAAACGTTAAGAGCACTCACATGGATCTCAGGAGAGTTTATAGGCCTGCGTGTAAA